CTGGTGAACCGTGTCAATGGCAACATGGACCAACGACATCTAACGACGGCCAAGTGTCAATGAAGGAGTGGCGCAAATAAATAACATGTTTGCTTCTTGGTTGCACATGTACATACACATGTATACAGGATCTGCTTATATAAACTATATCATATAAATTCTGTAACTCTATCTATCGGTTAAATCGTTATATACACTTGCATTGAAACTGTGTGTGCACCCAATATCACCCAATTAATTGAACTCTTACAGTACATGACCATGATAATCCTAAGGAGTGAAGCAAACATTGGCGGACTTCTGCAGTTGATTATGAGATGAGACCTCCAACTGACTGAAAGCAACTTTTGCACAAACACTGTTTCATTCAATGGATTGGTTTAAGGGAAAATCTACAGGAAACCATGTTTTTTACCACCAAATATAGGGTTTTCCTGCAATTTCCCGTGAAAACCAATTCTATGATTTATAAGCCCCGCAAAATCCCTTTCTATGGTTTTGGACGTCTGGTCTCATATTCAATCGAACTTGGTTCAATCCCTTTAGTTGGGCCAGGGTGCCTGGCTGTCCGGAAATGCCCAGAAAGGCGCTCTTTTCTATTTGGATAATGGTTTGATCCCTAAAGACTCGAAGGAACCACATGGGTAGTCAACAGGTTTCATGTGTGTTTCTTGTATATCTTGTATATATATATGTATATAGTATATAAACATGGCATTTTTTTTTTACAGTATATACATATGTGTAAGTATATATATAATACATATATACATATGTGACTTACAAAGAGTTGTCCATCCATTCACCAACCAATCAACCGTGTCCAGTTCAGCAGTTCACGATTCATCAAGGCTTCTTGGGGTGTCTTTCACATGGCTCCGTGGCTATCAGTCGTTCCTTTCTTGGCTGGAAGCCTCTGGCATAGGCAGAAGGCATACCCTCTGGCAAACGTGGCTAGCTGGAAACACCCCCAAGGAAATGGAGGTTTATAGCTGGGAAAACCATCAAACTCAAGCATCTGCGACCTCCCAATTGTAGCGCTGCCTCTTTTCACGCGCCACTTCGACATCAGGCTCAGAAGGCTGCAAGGCGCCTGACATGAAAATAATTCAGTAGTAATAGTCCTTGCCGTTCAAACTATGTGCACAATTATTACTCCTGGACATTTGGTCATAATTTGCTAAAGCTTGTTTATAACTCCAAAAACTTCGGTTGATGATGATTACATCTATTTTTGAATATCTATCTATCTAATCTAATCTAATCTAGTCTAGTCTAGTCTAGTCTAATCTAATCTAAATCTAATCTAATCTTTCTATCTAATCCATCTATCTATCGATCTATCTATCGATCTATCTATTATCGATCGATCTATCTATCTATCTATCTATATCATTACCGAAATGTATATATATATATATATATCATTATATATGTATTCATATATATATATATACATATCATTAGATATCTGGAGCTAATGGGTGTTAATTAAAAACCAACAAACACAACGGGGGGAACCAACCTTACAGCATTTCAGGTTACACATGGTTACACTTTTTGTAAATCTCAGAGCTTTTGTAAATCTCCCGTCTCACCCGGCAGGCTCGGATGACCCGGGCATTAAAAGTTAGTTACCCCTTTCATCATCCAGCTATGTTCGCAGGATGTTCCTTGAAAAACCATCCAGCTATTGGGGACCTCCCTTTTTCAGAAACCCCCTTTTTTGTCTTCTTCAGGTACCATGACCCACCGACCCACCGGGCCTATCAAAGGTGCCCGTGGGGTCGTTGTCGAAACCACTTTTGGGCGACCTGGGAACGAAATGAAACGAGCAGCTGAGGATGGGATCAAATGGGAATGCATATGAAAAAAGGTACATTTTATTATAGAGTATACTATATTGTACTACATTCTACTGTAATCATGTCTGAATCTGTTCTATACGCATCAGCTATATATATATATAACAATAATGACAACAATAAAATCGTAATTTGTAAACAAATATATATATTATATATATATATTCATATATCGGTATGATATACGGGCATCATACATGTGAATTACCTCCATGGTTAATATGCAAACAACTCAGTATCCTCCAGTAGTCAAAAATGGCAATGGAGGTTCACTATAATAAATGGGCGTCGGAAAATTGAAAAATGAACTATTGCCAAAAGATTTTGCAGTGAGCAGCGAGGCATGATTAGCGGAGAGCGTGCAATGAAATGTAAAATTAATGAACATGTTAGTGAAATTTATTGTAATACGAATGTAATGTTTATATTAATAATGTGTTAATGTAATTTTGATGCATTGGATTGTTCTCTATTGTAATGTAAACGTACTGCAAAAAATGCAGTGTAGCTTAGCGATATGTAAGGGTACGTTATGTTATGTTGTGATATGTCTTCTATATGTGCATGTATGTATCGATCTCTGACTTAAGACTGGGTACAATCTAATGAAGAAACACATGAAAAATAATTAATCCATATCCTGTGGTGATGGAGCTACTTTTTGTTTCTTTTAACTATTGGAAGGTATTTGGAGATATGTTTTGGTTCAAGAGACACCTTCTGAGGATGTGACCCAAGAAACTCATCTTCCATGTGAGTTTCCAACGGCCAAGCTTAGGCTAACATGTTTAAGCATCCAATTTCAGCAACAGCTTGGTCACTATCCAAGTTCAGTCTTGCGGGCAGGTTTCTTGTATGTAAACATATGTAAAATATGTATCTCTCCATTGCCGTCTCCAAGCGTATGTATATATGTACTTGTTTCTTTTATGGTAAGTATACATATTATGTATTTGCACACCAGTATGTGCATAAATAGTTGTATAGCTACAAAAAAAAATATATATACCCACATATGATTTGGTATTATACAATAAAAATAAAATATAAGTTTTAATTATAAATCAATGTAAGCCTATATGCTGAATTTTGCTCTTGGTTTAAGCACCAGCTACTTTAGCATTCTCATCCTCCTCCCATCATCCCATGGTTTCTGGAGGAGCGTCGATCTTGCCTTCAGACCTGGCGCAACACACGCAACTCGCGTTGCGCCGAGTTCGCGCACTGATTTGCCAGGGGATATCCTCAAAGGACGAGTTTGCTATGGAGAATGGGTTGTTTCTAGACCATATGTGGGTAAAAAAAAATGCCATAAACCATCCCCCAGTCATCACCATTTTTATGTGGTATAAACAATTTCCAAATGGGTGGTAAAAATGATATTGTTTTACCCACATTACATATATTGACCTATTGAGAATTGCCATGTTTCACGGCTATGAATTGAGATAATGCCATCGCCCAAAAGTTATATACCTCCAAAATGGCCCCTGGAAACGAATAGGCCCATGTCAAAATCAGGGCTTCTGGATGGTATGAATATTGAATAATGTTATAGGAGAATGGGATCATGGAGGCATATGGGGATCTAGTTGTGTACGATTCCTGGTCCCTGCACTCCCTAAGTAATGGCTAGAAAAGCCCGAGCTCTACAGCGAATTTCCGTCGTTATATCTTCCCATGGATAGTGGATGGGCCTGATGCCCAGCGCCAGCGCCAGCCCTCCAAATTTCGACTGCTTGGAGAAGGGTCCAAATGTCCTAATACATTTGGATAGTCATCATCTCATTCATCATCTCATTCATCATCAATTCAACATAATTCAACCACTTGCTATAACTTTTATGTATCATCAATCATCAGGGGTTTGGGGCGGTGCTCATTTTCCCCTGATCCTTTGGCGGATACGGAGTCTCACGTGAGGCTGCGGGAGCCTCAGAACTTTGTACATAGCTGCTGTGATGGTCACGTCGTCGGGTCACGTCTTCGTTGCTGGGACGGATTTCGCCCAAACATTTTGGGATAGCTGGGATATCAATGATGTTTTATGGTGGTTATCCGGATATCAATGATGTTTTATGGTGGTTATTAATGGAATATCATGGACTATATTTTATGATGTATATATCTATATATATATATATCTATATATATATATATATATCTATATATATATGTAACCAGCTGCTGTCAAGTTTGGGGTTAATTAAACATGGAGGCCCCTACCGCCACAATTTGGCTAATTGAACATCTGGAAATTATGATGATGGAAGGGGGTAGCCTTGTGAAAACAGAATGTAGATAACCTTCAGTGTTTACTAACAGTTCCCTGTGGAAAATGGTCCATTTCAACTGAGTTCAATGATTTACCTTTTAAGATGGTAATTTCCGCCAATAACTGGTTATAGTTATTACATGTGAGTACTACTAATGATATATAGTTATTACATATAACTTAAGATGGTACTATAACTATATGCTAGTTTATCAGAGGGTATCGGTATAATGGATATGATTTGATTTCTTCATCCTATGCTTGTCGAAACCCACCTTACCCCACGCTAGAGAGGTCCCTTGAATCATTCACCGCCAAGTTCGGCCATTTGGGGATAGCGACCCCTAAAAACATCTATAAAACCACCATATTCAATGGATTGGTTGAAGAGAAAATTTACAGGAAAACCCCATGATCTTCATGGGAAAACCTATGGTTTCCTATAGATTTTCCCCAACAAACCAATCCATTGAAATTTACATTCATTCACGCCGTGCGGCGACGTGAGAATGAAGCAGTAGGCGGTGGCCTTCCCGCCTTCCCTTTCTTCTGAGGGATGCTGATCTGCGGGGACCGAATCAACTCAGATTCGCTGATCAACCCACAGTTAAAACCCTTTACCAGCAATAACTGGTTATAAAATGTTATAAATTAAATTGGGTTATCATTCCAGAAATGGGGTACCAACTGACTTCACACTTAAAACTGGCAAAGGACCATAACTGCAGGAACATGGCTAAACGATGCTAGTACGGTACAAGGACAAAATCATGCGGTGATGATAAAATTGATGATACAACATCTACAACGAACATCTCCCATTGTCAAGGGATCATCCCAGAGTTGGCGCCGTCTTTTTCTCATTCCTTGTACTCCATGGAGAGGAACCTCGGCCACGAAACTCAGTTTCGAAAGCAGAATTGCTCTTAAGCATGACGGACCCCACTAAAACATGTTCTTTTTGGGGCGGGTGCTGGGGGGAGGAAAGTAATCAACAAAAGGTTTTTGTGGATTATGACTTAGGTTATCCCCCCAACCACAATTAAGATGACGTCGAAGGTGACTCTTGGCGCGTTAGCTGTGAACTGTTGAGTTGCTGGCTAGAAGATGGTGCCCCAATGTTAGTTAAATTGTTTTATACCTCCAAAAAAAACTGTTTTTTAGGTAGATGTAGATATATCTATCTATCGTTACTAAGGTCTATATTGAACTGGGAGGGCACCATCTTGTATATTTATCATTTTCCTATCTTAATGTTCCCAGTTCAACTCAGGCTAGGCTATAGCACCAATGATTCTCCTTGAAGCCGGTTGAAACTCTGTCAGAGTTTCAAATGCCTGTCCTGACACTTTTTTGTACCCCCAAAAGATGCAGAAAAGCATGCAGTTTATCACATTTTATCGCGATGTAGGATCGGAATTGCGCTTTTCGAACTGTTTGGGCATTGTAATATATACACACACACATACAAAATATAATATATATATATATATAATATATATATACAGTCAAACTTCAATTTTTATTAATTACATGATATATCATGATATAAAATACAAATACATAATGCAAACACGCACGCCCACATCAAATAATTCAATTCAAGTTTAGAAGAAACAAATGATGCTAAAATATGATTTGGTGGGTGCCCAACTTGTTGACACACCCAAATCATTCAAACTGATGGTGGGACAGCCCCGCTAACTTGTTATTGTTTCCTTCACTTTAGGAGGCAGTTCCACCGACCAGTTGCTTTCCGATATACTAATTAAATTAACTATATTAATCAATCAGTAGGCTTGTGCTTGTTCCTTTGTTCTCTTGCTACGCGTTTTTGCTTCGCCTGAATCAAGTCCACCCCCCCCTTCCCCCCCTCTACTACTACTACTACTACTACTCCTACTACTCCTACTACTCCTACTACTACTCCTCTTCTCCTTCCTCCCTTCTTCCCCAAACACTAAACTGGCAGTGTCGGTGGCTAATGACACTGCCTACAGCATTACAGTCGTCTACAGGTACTCGCCACAGGACGCACACGGTACTAAACTGATCGACCAGTACTCATTTGGTATGCGGTCCATACGTTGTTCAAGCAGGCACTTGCTACAGTACTCAAGCTGCTTCTGATCTTCTGATCTACTGATCTACGGCTCTGTCTTCGTCTCTTCTTCTTCCTCTTCTTCCTCTTCTTCCTCTTCTTCCTCTTCTTCCTCTTCTTCCTCTTCTTCCTCTTCTTCTCTCTTCCGCTTCTTCCTCTTCTTCATCTTCTTCCTCTTCTTCCTCTTCTTCCTCTTCTTCCTATTCTTCCTCTTCTTCCTCTTCTTCCTCTTCTTCCTCTTCTTCCTCTTCTTCCTCTCTTCTCTTCTGTTTCTCTCTCAGGCTTCCACCTAGCGTGCACATCAACTTCCCTTGGGGCAATCTCTCTCCGCTTCCACCCTGTCTCCTTCCATGCAGCGGTCTGCTGTCAAGCCAGAGGCTCATACATAGTATCTGGCGCTCTTTGCTGGGGGCGGTACTAATTTGGTAGCAGTATACGATCAATAGGTTGTTACAGCCAGCACTTGCTACACAAGCCGCTTCCGTCTTAGGGCTTTGTCTTCGTCTTCCTTTCTTCTTCTTCTTTTTCTTCTTCTTCTTCTTCTCCTCCTTCTTTTCTCTTCTGCTTCTCTCGCGGGCTTCCACCTAGAGTGCACATCAAACTCCCTTGGGGCCACCTCTCTATGGCCGGCGTGCTTGCCGAAGGCAATTAAATAGATATATATATATAATATTATAATCATATATCATTATATCTACATGTATAATCATATACGTAGGTCTTTCTTAAAATAGGCCATCCCGGCTCCGCGCCTGCACTGCTGCGGCACCTCTCTCCGCCAGGGCTCCAACGCCAGGAGCCCCCGCAGGAACTGCACGAAGTCCTCGCGCCACCGGGCCACGGCGCGAAGACGTGGGGAAAACGACTCCAAAACGACGGGAAAAGGTGGGAAAAATGGGGCTGTTTCCGAGCTTTTCCATCAACAAATATATGAAGAAGTCACTTTAGAACTTTAGATTAGTTCTTTTACATGTATTTTGGGCCGAATTTGTGATGCCTGATGTTGTTTGAGACTTTGTCTCAACAACATAGTCTTTACCCATTGTTCAGCAACAAACAAAGCAGGAGAACGCACTGGAAAACCAAATGCGGCCAAGAGCATTCCACCGCCATTTCTGGACAGGTTTATGTTTTTGGCACCACCTGACATCGCTTCACCGAGACACCAAGTGCTCAGCAGGCACCCGATCTTCCAGAGGCCACTGTTTCCAGACTTTCAGCACCTTAGTAGCCCAAAAATCGGAATCCAGCCCGATTTGTGTTTTCTCAGTGAAGCAAGTCAGTATCTGTTTAGATCTAATTTTCCTGTTGAAACATGATGATTTCCAAATTGGAATGTTTCCAGAGAGTATGATGAAATTTCAAGGGGTCAGCAATGGTCAACATCTTACACACTGCAGAATTCCTGATAGATTTTTTGTCCATGTGATTTTTCATAGACCAGGTTAGGCATTTCTTCAGCCGCACGTACCCTCCAGCAAAGTACTGATGTGGAAATCCCACCATGAAAGTAGATCATGTTCCGAAATCATGGGTTTTCCCATATCTATGATCATCTATGTTAGTTTACCCCAGGGTAAGTCCTTGTTTCTGAACAATTTTCAACTTCTCACAGCTGGGTATGACATCTCATTCCACCTAATAGTCAAACATATACCCTCTGGTAAACTAACATAGCTATGGAAAATCACTATCTTTAATGGGTAAAGCCACTATAAATTGCCATTTTCAATAGCTATGTTAGTTTACCAGAGGGTAATGCTACATATCATTCTCCCATAGATGGTGATTGGTCAAATGGAGCGCCCTTTGTTCCGTTTGGTCATCAAAATCATCCCGGCAGGGGGTGCCACTTCTGCAAAGCAGCTGCTATTGATGGCTGTTCATCGCCCTAATATGATAGGCATTGATCCATATTCACATGTAAGAACACACACACACACATATATATATATACAATATATCAGAACGTACTAAATTTAAAGCTTGATGGAATGCCTGTATATATACTGTCTAAAAGGAATATAAATATATAAATATATAATTAAATATATTATATAATTTGATTTCCCAGCCATATACTTGTAGATTTACTGGCACCATCCCAGGCGCGGATCTCTCAGACTCGGCGTTCTTGGGCCACTGCAGCCGGTGCTGATCCTCCGTGACTTCCGCCACAAAGCGCGTCTTCGTCTTGCCGCTGACCCGCGAGAGCATCGACTCCTGAGATGTCCGGAGAGTGGGGGATCTATCTCTGGTTCCTATGAGGTGGTTGCCCCTAGATAGCGTTAAGTTGGTTTATAACTCCAATAACTATGGTTTATAGGTGATATATCTATAGTTAATGGGGTTTATAAACCAATTTATAACTAGGGGGGCACCACCTTGTATGATGTTTAGGCAACATGAAAAGCAACGTTGCCTATATATCCAATTTGGATCAATTTGGCTGAAACTGGCTTCATCTGGGTTCTTTTGAATCGCCAATTCAGGGCGTTTTGAAAGGGACAATTGAATTTCAAACCACTAGATTCAGGCATGCCTTATTTTCACACCCAAATCACTTGCTGGGGATGGGAGATTGTGGGGAAAATTCAGCCAGCAAGGAAAAACTGCAAAAAAAGTTCGCGAGGTTCACGACAGGAAATTGGATAAGCTGCATTTTTTGAAGTCCAGCTTTGGTTTTCAGCACCTCCAATCCTAATCGATCCTCCCTCAAGCATGGAAAGCGTTCCCATCTTTGCTATTTCAACATGAATCACCTGAGATACACATTTCAAGTTAGCTAGTTGTCAGTGGAATGTCAGTTGTTCCTCAATTTCCTGGTGAAAAAAACATAAAAAACCGCTGGCCCCAAGATCGACCCGACAAGTCAGGGCCGAGTTTCTGGGAATGGTTCCAAGATTCCTCAGCAAGTGACGCTGGGTGTTGTTTGCACGAAAAAACCCGCCAAATAGACAAAAAACATGAAGGTTTATCTATGGTCTATATATGGCAGTGCGTCAAAACCTTGTACCCCTGGTGAACATCAAAATAGCTGGTAAATGGATGTTCATTCCCCTAAAAATGGTATGTATAGGTATTGATCCATGCCCATATGGTTATATGGTTTATCTATGGTTTATATATGATTTGAAATCGAGAACTGGTTGAATCCCGTTTACTCTTGGGGAGTTTCTTTTTTGGAGTCTCGCTCCTTGATTGTTGACAGGAAACCACCTATATGTCAATTAAAACCACTGGTCTTGTGTACAGTAGGTGTTCCTTCAATCAATTCATAGACAAATCCATTATACTTTAGGATTCCAGATGCCCTAGGGACTGAAGGCTCGAAGCTACCATCGCCGCGGTATTTTGGAATCTAGAAGCCGTACATCATCCCACTAGCCAGGCACATCATCAAGATCTGATCATTTCTTAATCCATGCACATGCCATGTGCACAGGATCGAGGCGCATCATTTCTTTATCCTCGATGAAGGTCACCGACACAACTTGTTTGTCCGACACAACTTTTCCCTGGTTTTGACCGAGGGCTTCAGTTTCTTCATCCAGGGCTTTGTTTATTTTCGTCTTAAACCCTCTAGTACTCTAGTACTGTAAATGAAGATACATATGGAAGACTATGAACATCCATCTGGGGAAATTACAATATTTCACGAACCTGAAAAGTTCGGCCAGCTATGGGGCTGATTGCCCGAATCCAATTCCCATCATTCCAGTGAGGTCGCGATGTGAGTTCGTCATAATTTATCCAAATTAAATCCTATTAAATCATTTAAAAACCAACAATGTTAAGTCATGTTAAGTCATAATCCCACCATGGAAAAGTGTTATCCCATGAAAAAGTCCATTATCCTAGAAACATATTCCATTGATCCTCCGTTGTTATTGATGGTTTTCTAAGGGTTCCATGATCTGTTTTTAGCGCCTAGGCCGCGGGGAACCCGGCCCCGCAAAGACCTCGGCATTGCACCAAGTCTCGTTCCATCATGGCCTCGGTTTGGGGATTCGTGGGGATTTAACCCAACAAAAAATGGGAATACCCTCTGGTAAACATACAAAAAACTATGGAAAATCACAATTTTTAATTGGGAAAACTCACTATTTCTATGACCATGTTCAATAGCAAACTGTTAGTTTACCAGAGGGTAGATTGGTGATGGTGGTTGCTGTATCTTACTGTACCTTGGGGGTGCCACTCAGGTGATTTTGATGGATATATTTGTTGCTGGTTGGTGGTTGAGCCCTACCCCTCTGAAAAATATATGAGTGAAAGTCAGTTGGGATGATGACATTCCCAATACCCTCTGGTCATTTAACAGGTTGCGAACTGGAAAATGGCCCAGTCGAAATAGTTTTCCGTTTTCCCATTAATAGCATGGTGATTTTCCAGAGTTTTTTGTATGTTTACCAGAAAAATAATCCATTCATCTTCCAAACCACCAAGCAGTTGGGGCTTCGTGGAATTTCAACCAAACATATGGGAATACCAATCAAGGGGGACATTTTTTTCGTCATGTGCCCGCAATTGAGAACGTGATTCTTTGGAGGTTTATGGATTTGGGGAGTGGATGACATCCCAAGAAGCTGAGTGGGATACGATTTCAGTTATATCACTGGGCTATGACTTAGATTATGACCATTTATAAACTTGGATGCACCTAGAAGGACAAGGCTCAAATTTGGGCAACATAAAGAAAAAAAGCAACATGTGATATAATATACATATATCAATATATATATAGTCATATAGTGTATATATATATATTATGTATATGTGTGTGTGCAAATGTAATTATATATATATAGTTTAGTATAAGGATCATTTAGTCATGTCATCTGACGGGTCATCCCGAGGCGCTAAATGCTCAGCACTGTTGTGAGTCTCGAAGAGCATGTTGCCACTGTAAAGTTCCCACAGGATGCAACCCAAGCTCCAGAGATCCTTAGTCATCCAACCAATCCCTTGGAAAAATCCTACCATGTGAGGCCCCAAGGTCCCGATTTGATAGCATTCAGTTGGTGAACATAACTCCAATAACTATGGTTTATGGTATTTATGCCTATAGTTACTGGGGCTTAAAAACCAACTTATAACATCTTATAACTGGGGGGCCTCACATTGTAGGGTCTCACGTAGTCCCAAAACCCTCTGATGACTTGTTGCCATGTCATAGGACGCTAGGCAACAGGATGATAACATGGATGTTTTTAAACAGGATGGGTGAATTGTGCGCTTTGATACTGGAGAAGATTCACGGTCAAGAAATTGAACACTTATGGAATATTCTAAATGTTGATTGTTATTTGATGCTTCGGAATCTTGGTTGAAGTTTGGATAAACAACAGGTTAAGCTTCAATCTTGAAACAAGTTGAGATCTTTTGTTCATAAGATTGATTAATTTCTCTGAAGTTTGATTAATGTCTCTGAATTGTGATGGATGGTGTTTGCTTTTGTTCTTTTAAACGGAATCTCTAAATATTGATGAAACTTTCCAAAGTTTTCCGTGCTCAGCATTGCTATTGAACGATCCACCTGCGGTTTTTCCTCACACTAAAAATCGGCCAAATCATGCCAAATAGAGGCATGATTTTATCACAATAGAATGACAGGCATACCCCCAAATAATTGGGGATGCTTTATTATGATTATTATTATTGTTTATTCTTATATATAATGGTTATCATATATTGTTGTTTTATTGTTGGCTTATCATGTCATTGTTATTGTTATTTATCTGGTTGGTGGTTTCAACACCTCTGAAACATAGTCAGTTGGGATGATGAAATTCCCAATATATGGAAAATAATCCAAATGTTCCAAACCACCAACCAGTTATTATTGGCTTTACCACATATACTACGTACCAGTTGCGTTACGCATGGTGCCATCTTCTGTCGGACGGCGCTGCCACGTCCAAGGTGCCGCCTTCTCGCTCCAGCCCAGGTGGAGAACGACTTCGGGAGAACGATACCTGGGCGACACAGGGGGTGCTGCTGGTGAACCGTTGAAGCCTCAGCCATGGCTATGAGTCAAATTAAGTCATACAGGATGGTGCCCCCCAGTGATGTTTGTTGGTTTATAAACCCCATTAAGTATAGTTATATCTGCCATAAACCATAATTATGGGAGTTATAAACCAACTTAGCTAACTATGGGGCACCACCTTGTAGCTGGTGAAAATGGATGCTTCTTCGGCTGAATCCCTGAAGATTATGGTGATTTCATAGGTTTTGACCCATCACCAAGTAAACCAGGCCTGCTTAAATGTTCCGAATTCACCCCTTTGGTGTTGCAAGTGATGGTTTTTTGATATCAAACAGATATCCACCATGAGAAGGTCTGACCCTTTATTTCAAGCTTCAAAGACGTGCCGCATGGTAAGTCCTGGCCATCTTTGGACAATGTATACACCATACTGCGGATTTTTCAGAAATCCTGCACCAAAGGGATGGTTTTTTTCAACCTTTTGTTTTTTTTTTAAATAATGGGATACATCACCTATCAACACAACAGGTGCAGGAGTTTTGCTATAAACAGCAGTATGTTGATATATGAAGCATACCTGTTTAACATAAACAAATCCAAGGTTGACATTATGCCATAACATTTCTTGAACAATAATCCATCAAGCCAGGTTGAAACCGACCTGCGCTAGGGCGCCTCTGCCACATCTTGGGCGGTTCGGACATGGCCAAAAACACGGAGGATTCGTCCGGGAGACCTTCATTGGATTGGTTTAAGGGTTAAAACCACATTCAATGTCAACCCCGGATTAATAAACCATGGTTTATTAATTAGGGGGTACTCTCCAAATAGTCACAATATGGTACTTCAATGGTACCCTCCCAATTAAACAGCCGTAAACGGGGTTTATTAATCCAGGGTTGACATTACAGGTTAAAACCCATGGCTTCAAACCAATCCAAAAACGGAACATATTAACCATTTAAATATGGGAACATTTTAGCCGGCCCCCATGATCTTCATGGTTAAAACTCATGGCTTTCCGGTTCGAAAAGCCATCCCACCGATCCAATGAAGCTTCCGACAACATCAACCCTCTGCTTGAACATAGCTATGGTTTCCATGGATGAAAACGGGCCATAGCTACCATGTGAGGCCCCCAAGATAGCTAAGTTAGTTTATAACTCCAATAACCATGGTTTATGGTACTTATGCCTATAGTTACTGGGGCTTATAAACCAACTTATAACTGGGGGGCCTCACATTGTATAGATGATCCAGCCGATACAGCTACGAATGGACCTTTCTCAAGAATGGATGGAACATGGCCCATTGATGATTCACCTATTAAATCAATGGCCATTTCAGGATCCTAGATTGGAGGTATATACCTCCATTTCAGGCCTTATATGGTACTAACGTACCTCCATCTGTTGGATCCTGGAGATCTCCCATTGATTAAACCATGTTTAAAATGGTGATGTCAACCACAGCGATTAGTGAAACCACCGACAACAGGATCCCCAGGGCTGTTGGCGAAGGGCTGTCGCGTTTGGATGATGGAGGAGTGATGCATGTCAACCTTGGACACCGTTGGAGTGCCGGAGTGTTTCCACAGATTATTGGGTTGTCAACAGATTATACTACAATTGATACTAGATTACTAGATATGTCTATGGTACATGGGGATTAACCACAATGCAACAAACAAAATTGGAGGAACTACCTGGTGAAACGCGGTGAAGAAAAGCAATTCACCTTCATTGAAATCCTATGACACTCCCATGTTTGATGGTCAACATGGGTTTAAATCAACTTAACTCTGATGTGGTTGGCCCATTTAAGAGGAAACATGGATACCTATAGCTCCTTAGCTCCCTCCATTCACCACTGGATAGTTCCACCAATGACCCAACAAAATCCTCTTGGATGCCATTCATTTTCCATTTTCCATTAGTATTTCATCATCCCATTGGCAGTCTAAATCCCATTAATTAACACTTCATGGAATCAGTAATTCATGATCAATCGTCCATTCTCAGAAATAAATGATCTCCGAATTTTCTATTCCAGGATGATCTTACTGGTGCGAAACTACGTAGGGTTGCTGGATGGCTTGCTGGGGGTTGCTGGGATGATGATTACTACGAATGTGATGGATTATGGATCCCGAAAATTCCCTGCGTTTAACTAAGCACCAGTAAGTGATCCAATCCATTCTCCAAATGATCTCCGAAGTCTCCCATGGCCGTCATGGCCAGTTCCACGGTCACCACGACACGTAGGTGGCATTGCCAAAGTCGATCAGCTTCACCCGACGGTCCGCCGGACGGATGTAGGGCAGCTCCGCGTACCTGACGGATCTGCAAAACACATGGGGATTGATAGGTGAGATGTTGGCCCATGATGTTGGCGAAGTTGGTGAATAGAACTAGCTTAACTAATAGCTAAATGTTATATACCTTGAATACTAAGGCTTTATTCATGGTTTATGGTAGATAAATCTGGAGTTGGAAGGGTGAAAACTACGCCAACTCAAACCTGAAGGGCACCACCTTGTAGCTTGGCCGCAACGAGTCAGATAATCTCAGAGAATGTCAGAGAGTAAGTAGATTTGACTCATTTTTTTGATACCCATATATATTTAATGGTATGTTAATGGGATTTAATGGGATTTTATTGTATTTTAATGGGATTTAATGGGATATATGATGGTTACCCTCTGGTCAACTGTTACATAACTATGGAAAATCGCCATGCTATTAGTGGGAAAACTCACTATTTCGACTGGGCCATTTTCAATAGCAAAGTGTTAAATTACCAGAGGGTAATCAATCCATGTTAATTCCATTGCACGTGGATTCAATCAAGGTTCTTAAAATGAATGGTTCCTTCGTCGGATGTGGGATCTACATGGACAAGAAAATTTGAATCAGCGGTGGTCAAGCACATGTTACCCCCATAATTTTGTGCTTTGAAACTCACCAAACGCCATCACAGGTCCCAAGTATCAAAATCCAGGAAAATGTACAACAAAATCCCTCTTTCGCTGTCCCTTTTTGAGGCTTAAACGATCAATAGTAGCAATCTTTGAAGCAATCCCTGTTCCCCAAACAGCACTGAAGAACAGGTCGAGGCTGGTCAACTTTAGGGGCTTCCCGGCTTCCCTAGATGGTGAGGTCAGCTATTGATGTCCTTCTAATCCATTGATCATCAGTACACTCCAACTTTCGCCCAAAATGTGCAAAAAATTGGCCATTGATCATCAAGTTTGACAGCAAACGCACACAGATTTTGACAGGTTTTGACCAGGCAAGCAGCCCTAGACTTCCAAAGGCCTGAGTCTGTGGTATGTGGTAAAGCCAATGCCATAGTCACCATCCCATGCCAACCATGACTGGGGGTGATAGATATGCAAGGGGGATGGTTTCTGGCGGCTTCACTCCAGTATTAGAAAATCATATGCAAGGCTATTTGAAGCAATTTGAACCAAAGCAAAACCCAAAAAAAAAGCCAACCTGGTTGGTGGTTTCAACCCCTCCGAAAAATATGAAAGTCAGTTGGGATGATCCGGGATGATGAAATTCCCAATATATGGAAAGTCATAAAAAAATGTTCCACACCACCAACCAGCAACATAGGAGGGTGTGTCTGAAAATGGGACATACCCTGTCACATTGCCAATGTCTGCGGAGGGAAAATGATGATTAACCAGTGGATTGGTTATCTCTCCATCGGGTCTGCCCGAGCCGTGCCGGCGAGATGGTTACAGTATGCACATGTGGCAGTCGATTGAATGGAGTGCCAAATATTTTCTTTCAGTCAAACCCAGGAAGGGGTTAGGTCACTCACTAGCATAAAACGATAAACTTCCATTTATAACCCATAGGATCCATGTATGGTATATATGCTAACATTGGGGGTATATTGATGGGATCCATGTTACCATATATAGCATACATGGATCCTATGGGTAATTGTTTTTCCAATATTTCCCGAAGATTTTCCTATTCATCACCGACTCAAAAAACCCACCAGTCGCACACCGCGGCAATCCCCGGAACCTGGGTGACGGTGGCTGCAACTCTCCCCGTGGAAACGTCGAGACCTGCGGCAGACTGCGCGTCTGCAGCAAGATGTTCTCCTCGGATGGCCCCCGAACCCATTAAACATGGTGATTTTCCATAGTAAATGATAGTTCACCCTGGTTAATACACTGTTAATGGTGGTTAATATATGGCTGAATTCTATGGTGGGTGGTATACGCAAACCCCTTTGAAAAATGATGGAGCGAAAGTCAGCTGGCATGATGACATTCCCAATATATGGAAAAATAAAAAAATGTTCCAAACCACCAACCAGTAACTATAGTATTAATATGTATTCATGGGGTTTATAAACCAACTTATAACTGGAGAGAGAAACACACAAGTAACTGGACACTACCACATTGCCCATAACAATGCATATGAGTCGAATCACCAACAATAATCTTGGGAGTTTGTCAAGAATGTTGATGGCCAATGAGTTGTGGGGTTCAATACTCAACAAAATACTCTTGCTTTGGGGTTACTGTATTTAAATGCAATATTTGGGTTTGTATGAAAGTATGCAGCGGAAAAAGTAGCAACTCACACTTGGGCTCTACCCTTTTATCTACGCTGAACGAAGTCGAAAACGGCTGCAGATGAAACAAGTCAAGGTGAACCAAACTACAACTAACTAGGGGTCAGGTTCCAGCACGCCTCCCGACTGATGAACTGTTGTCACATCAGGAGTACTGGAGACACTAAAAAGGTGGCTCAAGCCGTTCTACACAGCGAAGGCGATCTTCGATCTACCTGCCACATACCTGAATCCCATCAGGTCCATCATTTGAACCATCAAAGTCGCAGTCACAGGTTTGGTGAGTATGTCTGCCAAGTTCTCAGACGTATGCTTCTTGGTGAGCTTGATCAACCCATTGGTCACATAGTTCTGGATCCACAGGAATGCAGTGTGAACATGTTTCACACGCCCCAATCCTCGACGGGAACTCATCGCAGCTCCTGCCGTCGCATCGAAGATGAGATTGATTGACAATCGAACGTCCCATTCACTTGCGATGGACTGCTCACACAGAGCTTCCGATGCTGAAGTAACCAAGGCATAGAATTCAGCCTCTCCTGATGAGAGCGCTACCACGGCTTGACCGCGGCACACTGATTTCAGCAGGTTGCATCCTGCCATGATCACACATCCCGATGTTGATTTCCTGGTGCGTATGCATCCGGCATGATCCGAATCGCTGTAAACATCCAGTCGAGTCAGGATGCGTTGACGACGAAACATTTGGATCACTCGAGGTGAGTGTAGGAGGTACCGGCTGCACCTTTTGAGCAACTCCATGTGCCTCTCCGTAGGCGCTGACATGCCCTTTGCCAGTTCTCTCGTCACTCGTTGCAAATCTGTCCGGTCCTGGGATATATATCCAATCCTCATAGTACACGACCTGTACAAGGTCGCCTCCTGTTCAGATAGCATCTTGTCCTTGACGTCCACGTTGTCCGGTGGCTCTCGAACCAACGGTGTAGTCACCGCTTTGCTCACTCCCAAAGCCTTTACTACGATGTCCACGTGGCGAGGGTCAGCCTCGTAGGAGATTCCCTCATCAGTCCACTTGAGAATCCTGTTCAAATGGCGCATTTCTTGCACCGTTCCCAGATGTCTAGATTCTGGCGGACCGAAGATTCCACGCTCTTCGATCATCCATGCTGCTTTCAGCTCCTGTGAAAACTTTCGCAGCTCATGGATAGGTCCTAGGGTGACGAAATCGTCTCCGTGCACTGTGCACCTCAAGTTTCTCCTGGCATGGAGAAAGTTGCACGGTGTTCCCAAGGAACAAACGAACCCAAGGGACTCGAGCAGTTTGCGTATCGTCTTCTCCCAGTTGGAAGCGGCATCCCGCGTGCCGTACAGGCTTTTAAGAAGCCTGCCCACTTTGTCTTCCCCAGGTCTTCGCACTTCCCAGGGCAGCTCAACGTGCAACTCCCGAGTTGCATCGGACACGAAGTGTGCCCTTTTCACATCAATGAACATGATGTACCACGGCTCGGTGCGAGGACGAACCGTCCCATCCACACCGAAGAACCGATCCACCATAGCGAGCGTCAGCAGCAATTTGAAGCTACTGAGAGGTGGCATTGCCGCAAAGAAATCGGCTACCAAGGCACCCTTGCTGCCTTTCTTTATCTCCTTGCCGACATACCGCGAACGGTATCGGGGATTGGTGGAATCACCTTTGTTGATGTCGACCCATCTGCCTTTCAGCACTGGCTTGTCACGGGGTCTGTCCACTTCTTGCCACACGCCCATCTTGCGTATGAAGTCAACTTCCTCTTTCCTGGCTTTGACCACCCGGTCGGGGTCTAGTTCTCTCCCGGAAATATCGTCATAGAATTCTTCGAAGTGAGCTTCGAAGAAATCTGGCTCTTCACACACCGGTCGGGTCTCTCCCCGCTCTGTTGCCTCATCGATTATGGCACACACGCACTCATCGTGGTGCATCTCAATCAACTCATTGATCGAGGCTTCTGTGTCGATCACGCGAGTGTCGACCACACGCGCCTCTTGCGACGCTTCAATTTCTTCTTCGCCTCCTCCCTCATGCTTTCTCTTGGAGGGGCTGCCTTCTGTGGCTCGCCTCCTAGTCGGGGACCTCTCTTCGGTCATTGGGCCAGTCTCCACTGACCTCTTGGGACTGCTAACCTCTTCTCCGGCAGCGGCCGAAGCGGCCCTTGCCGTTAGAGCAGGTCCGATCCTTCCAGACTTCGAAGGATCCGATGCTGATGATGCCTCAGCTCCACCAGCTTCCTTCTGGTCGACCACCACGGCTTCCGCTTTCTCAGCCTCCTTTTGCTTCTGCGCTGCAGCTAACTCGGCTTCCGCCGCCTTCAGCAAGGCTCGATCGTATCGTTCCTTCTCCACGGGGTCTTCAGAGACCGCTTTCTCCAGTCGAATCCGGCAACTGGCACTGTGAGCTATTCCGGGCTTCCTCTTACCGACTCGTGCACTGTCGCACGCTGGACATCCGGCTGTGTAGCCGAACTTCTCAAGGTTCTTTTGGGTTATGTACAAGTTCCTACTCGCGGGCTCGAGCCGAAACGGCTCAGGCTCCCGAACGTCGACCTCTGGAACTTCTGCTTTTAAGGACAAGGGTTTGTCCAAGCTTTCACTCTCGGAACCGTCCGGGTTCCAGGGTACTCCCCTGATCTTTTTCAACATGGCACCATCCCACCGGGCCAACTCCGGTTTTCTTCGCAGACTAACTACCCAGTGAATTCCTTCGGGGGTAGCCACTGCCTTCTCTGTAGAGTTACGGTTAATCCCCACAAAGATACCTGGCTGCCATCGCGACTCCATTTTTGACCGACCGCGAAGTCGAAACTCCACGAGTTCACCCCAAGAAGGGATTGGTACCCTCCAAGGCTTGCCCTTCATCCTCTGATAGGCAGTCATTCCATCCTTTGGAACTCCCTTGTGGTAGAGAGTAAGTAGAGTGGCTGCATGTTCCACGAGCCAAGTGAGTGCAGGATGGTCAGCTTTCAACTCGACCTCGGCGTGGTACTCCACGAACTCCTTCAGGGTTCTTGCCATTCCTTGGACCATTTGGATGGCCCTCTCCGCTTCTCCGTTGGCCTTTTCGTGAGCTTCCACAGGCGCCTCTTCCAGGACGCACTCCCCTTGGAACCCATTCTTAACTCGTTGCAGCATAGCTTGAACGCTGCTTTCCTGGTCACCTTTCAAGATGACACGCTTGTACCCTGTGGACTCAAGGTCCTTCAACAGCTGGTTGGCTCCGAAGGGATTTTCAACTCCTTTGGAAGGCACAGGGTGTGCCCACACCGACTTGGTCCTTCTGTCCCGGACCACTATCACAGGCAAATCTGCACTTCTTGTGGCCGAATCGCCCATGAAACAGTAATCCACCGATATGGTGGGAATTTGCTGTTCGTCAACACTCCTGCGGGCAAAATGCCCCGAAGAAAGTCCTCTCCCACGGATACAAAACGGGCACCAGTTTCGGAACGGCAGGTGAGTGAGGTTGTGCTCGTCAATCTCACTTTGGCTTGGAAGCATCGGGGTCTTTTGGACACCTGCACTTTGAGCCTCATCTTCGTCCACTTCAAACCCAGGCTCGGTTTCCTCATACTCGCCTGCTGGTTCTCCTTGCTGCGGCGGATGCGATTCATCCTCCATTACACTTGGTGAAGGCACAAGGCTTTCCTCTTCGAATTCTCCTTCCACTGGTGCAATGTCAGAATTTCGGACACGATCGAAACGATCCGGTCCGTGGGATTGGCCAAAATGGCTGGGTGAAACTTTTGCTTCTGATGACTCACTCGGCCTTACGGGATGTCTCCCCGCCGGCCGAAAACCTGCTTGCGCTTAACCCAAACGGGCATCTTGTAGACACCGCCCATGACGATCATCTTCAACTTCCTTCCACTTGCCCGATGCAAGGCAAATGATCCTCCGTTCTCTTCACTGTCGTGGACAATCCTCCATCCGGCCGCAACCATTCGGCTGGTGCTGAACAACGGCCTCTTCAGAGGGGACAGCACCACAGCCTCGACCTTGTTGACCTGCCAATCTTCAAAGCAGATCACAGGGCTGGCGCTTCCCAACGCCGTCACTTCGTGGTTTGAAGCACTGGTATACTGCTTTGGCCCAGAGTGATCACCCACTTGGTAACCTTGGACCAGGGATTCCGGAAAGCAAGTAACAGCAGCTCCACTGTCGACAGTGACGTAGACCTTTTCCCATTCGCCGTCGATTGCCGGCTCGTCCACGCTGAAGATCTCAAGGCTCTCCACGGAGCCCTCGTCACGGTAGTGGCGCACCAAATGATGGGCCTCCTGTTTGGAGAACCCCAAGTCCACCAAGCATTGACTCGGTTTCCATTTCCCCCAAGTCTCATCGTCATCCTCAGAGACGTCGGGTTGTCCAACCACAGGCTCCTCTTCGACAACCACCTCCTCATAGTCGTTGCAGGGCACGTCTCGGCTCCCACATGCGGTGGATGGTGGCTCGTCTCTCTGCTCGTTGCTCGGCATCAAAGATGCAATTTTGGCCTCATGCACCCTGATCTCCTCTTCGATCTCAGCGGCTTCCTGGTCGTCTTCTGCCGATTCAAGATTTTGCGACAGGGTCTTGATCTCCTTCCTGGACCAAGCCACGTCTGCAAGGTTTTCCAGGTTCGGCTCCTCAATCCTGGCCTTCTTTCTGGCCCAGGCCTGGTCTGCGAGCAACTCGAAGTCTGGCTCTCTCTTCGTGGACCCTTTGTCCGCCGGAAGCGGTCGAAGCGACCCTTTCCGTGCGCGGACATGGGCACCTTCCTTCCATAACTTCGCCCGTTTAGCCTTGCTCCGTTGCCGCAACAGGCTGAGTCTCCAACCCGTTCTCTTGAGGTGTTTGTGCTTGGCCTCGGCTGTGTTGCGCTTCATCCATTGCGGTCTGGACCAATTGCGAACCTTGACTTCTTCCAGAGGCTCATCGTCCTCCTGGCGGAACTCCTTCCGCTCCTTATAGTTCAGAGCCCTCATCACCAAGTCAGGCCGCAAGTCCTCCCGGTCTCCTTCGAACCGACCTCCGTATCGGTCGATCTGGTGTTGGCGGCGAGTGTCCACTCCAGCTTTCCACTCGACATCCTCGGTCGAACCGCGGAACTTGGCGTGCCATTTGTTGTCAAGCTCCTTTCTTTCAAAGGCCCTTTCGGTGGACCCTTCCGCACGGTGCTTTGCCGCTCGCACGCGGCTTTTCCATTTTCGCTTGGACAGCCGCACGCTGTGGCCAGCGCGGATGTCCTGTCGGTACCGTGGATCTTCTTCGAAGCGTGCGCTCCGTCCTTTCAGGACCTCAAGCTGTTGCTTTCTTGCCGCGATTTCCTCCTCCAACTTCCGTTGACGATCCTCGTCGGATCCTCCTTTGCTCAGCTCGACTTTGGCTCGGTGAATCTCCCGCGCTTCCACCGACTTCAGGTTGGTAAGGAGAGAGCGGATAAACGCCTCGGTTGACCCAGTTCCTTTTCCTCGGCCTTCACCGGTGGACTTTCCTCTACTGGATTCCTCGTCGGACTTAGGCTTGCTCTCCTCCAGGACGAAAATCGCTTGGATTTCAGCCTCAGCACCCTTTTCTTTGGAGTCCTGCGCCTCTCCTTCCAGAGACTTAATCCCAGGCTTTCCTTTGCCTTTGGAATCTTTACCTTTGTTGGATCCTTTCCAGGACCCTTTGCCTTTGCCGTCAGACTTCTTGCCTTTTCCGTTCTTTCCGCCAGTTCCTTTGCCTTTTCCGGTCCTGTCCCAACAGTCCTTCGCGAGGTGGCCGAAACGGCCACACGCGTGACAAGGCCCAACACTTTGGGAACCGCCTTTGCCTTTCCCAGGCTTGCCTTTGGCTTTTCCTTTGGCCATGGCATCAACATCCATGGCGTCCGGATTGCGCATGGGAACCGACGTCTTGATGTCCAAGTACGTGTCGATCTCAGCCCTCATAGCATCGTAGCTCGCGAGTCTGCTTGCGTGTAAGTCCAGGTGTTCAGCTAGAGAGTCAGGGCACAAAGACTGAAGGCATAGGCGACGAGTGGGATCGCTCAACGCGTCACTGGTCCTCTCTTGGTACTGAGTGTAGAGACGTTCCCACGTCTCGATAGCTCCACGTAGGCTCGACAAGTCCTTGGCCTTTGTAGGCCTCAACACTTTTGCCAACAAGTGGTAGTTGGACTGCGCGGTCTGTGGCTCGTACTCTCGACTAAGTCGCCTCCATCCATCAAGTCCACTTTGGGCTAACGAATTGCGCAGGATAGACAGAGTCTCACCCTTGGTCAAGGACACCAAGGCCGTGTGTAGCTGCCGGTTCACTCGAGCAGCATCATCCCATCCTGGCCTGGTGGCCACTTCAAGCTCTATCGCCCGATCATCCACGACTCCGTTGTAGGCTGCCGCCCACTTCAACATCTCATCTGCTTGTTCGTATTGGGATACGAACCACGTCGTGAAACCAAATGACCATAGAGGCCACTTCTGCTTTATTTGCTCTTTTGTCTCGCCTTGGAGCACCTCAGGTTTGCCGACTCCTTTAACATCGACCACTCCTGACTTGTCCTTGGGTGCCAGCTTTGCCAAGGACTCACTCAACACTCTCACGGACTCAGTCGTCTCTTCTCTCTGCACGCCCAAAGCTTGCCTCATCGCTGCGTCTCTGGCCTCCATTGCTTGCTGATTCTGTTGGATCAGCTGCATGGTGTTCTGGTTGGCCACATGCATTTGTTGGAGCATTTGCGCCATCATCACCATGGGGTCTACTGGCCCTGGCGGCTGCTGAGCCATGACTGGCGAGAGTCGAAGCGACCCTTCGCCGTCAGTCCTGCTTGGGGTACGTCAGAGCGACCCTGTTCAGCAGGGCCTTTGGGTACCTCTGTAGGTGGTGACCCACAAAGGCGAACAACCTCTGTAACTTTCGGATCTTCAAGATCCTTTTCACCAAGGCACCCCAGTTCAACACGGGCCTGTTTGCGGTGGCCCTTCGACAGCAGTTGCCCATTCAGGGCTCCGCTACCATGCAGCGGAAAAAGTAGCAACTCACACTTGGGCTCTACCCTTTTATCTACGCTGAACGAAGTCGAAAACGGCTGCAGATGAAACAAGTCAAGGTGAACCAAACTACAACTAACTAGGGGTCAGGTTCCAGCAAAGTAGGGCAACCAAAAAAACCCATACTTCATCACCATCATCATCATCATCAGATCAAAATTTAATATGTCTGCGGTACACCCCATTGTCAAACACAGGCAGTGAACATGCAGCTTGTAAAAACCAACATGATGCTGCTGATATATATAAGTATTCAACTCATGGTCATGGTATGTCATGGTCGACCATGCGTTTTCAACAACAATCGTTTTTACACCAATCAAAGAACCATAGAGCATTTAGATTCCCATCCATATTTTTGTGGGATGGATTGCGCAGCTGCAATGCAGCAATCCAGGAGAGCAAAAAAAACGTGCCTGCATGACCATGACCCCCGTTTTTTTTCGCAGAAAACACGCCAGAACATGAAGTGCCTTTTGGGATAGGGGCATCTACCCTCTGGTAAACAAACATAGCTATTGAAAATGGCCATTTATAGTGGATTTACCCATTAAAAATTGTGATTTTCCATAGTTATGTTAGTTTACCAGAGGGTAATCTACCATGTGGTTGGGAACCTCTTGGTAGTTCCCAACCAATCCCCAATAGGGAATATGTTTTACATCCCAAGCGCGGCACCCAGAGCTCCACTTGGCCAGTTAGGTATACCCCAAGATTCATCAATGGGCTTCAGCACCGAAAAAAATATGTATTTATATGTCATATGTCATTTCCATTCATTTCGTCACCTCCGTGGCGTTTCGATGTATCCTGTCATTATCCAGACACATTTTGTCCACTGCTTTTGCATATCCCAAACCCGTTGGAATTTGGAACATCTACGGAGAAATTGCCATCTTAGTGGCAGCTGTTAACTTACTTCTTTCATATATATTTTATATATGTATACATATATAGCTCGGAGACTTGCTATATTCGATATGTCTTCATCCAGACTTCCCTTCAGTTTTTGACAATCAAAAATGCAATTCCAGGAATATGTTATCTTCCGTCTTCCGGTAGAAAAACTAGGCCAAACACCCGCGATCGTAGCAAAGTGATCCCATTTGAGCCAGGAACAATTGCCCCATCCCATCCCAACTGGTTGATAGGTGTCCCTATCGTGGGTTATCCTATGGGTCATCCTACTCCCCTGGAATAACACGAGGTCACCAGCTAGGTAGTATAAGCCTTTATAATATATAATGATGTATATATATATTTAATAATAATAACAAAAGTAATAATAATAATAATAAATATAAATATACAAATATATAATGTGTATATAGCGATTGTATAGTCACCTTCCAATTAAAAGCAATCTTTTTGCGGGGATTGAGCGCATTTGACCCTGACGTTTTCGCCGCCGGGCTTCGGGCTTCAAATCGGTGTGCGTCAAGCTGAGCGAGTGCAGAAAGGCCAACGCCCGCAAGGTCTGCTGCGCAAAGCTCTGGATGTCCTGCGAGCTGCAGGACCCGCAGGACGGAAGTGTCCAACATCACATGGTGCGCCAGGGGAAACAAATCCATTCTAAAAGGGTACCCTCCAGTAAATTAACCCAGTAAATTAACATGGACCCTGCCATTCATTCATAGGGGTTGAAAGACTAGTGAAACCACTATAAATTGGTCAGTTTCAGGGTCGAACTGTTAATTTACCAGAGGGTAAATGATATGTATACCCAGGCCCTCGAAGCAGCGCAGCCACCTCCCATCCTCCAATACCATCGGAGCATCCCCGCAAATCAACAGCATGCAAAAGCACCACTGGACGAACGAGCGAAACCATCAAGAAATCTCAGAAGCACCAGCAATTTCTTCTTAAACTAACTATATTTATTTATTGGTTCAGGTTGCCTTATCTGAAGATTCTATACCAACCCGAGCCCCTCGCATGTGCGTCAGCAAATCCTGCAACCAGAAGCCGCGGTAGCCGTTCCACTTCAAGAAGTCGTACAAGGCATCGCCCAAGAGCTCCGTCACGATGCAAAAATACACCTGAACTGGCGCTGAGGCTCGTCCAAGACTGGGATGATCGCTCTTTGAGGGATGGAGATGATAGACTGATAGAAGTAGATCCAGTGCTTTACAACACTTTGGGATATTTCAAAAACAACTGAAATTCAGAACATAGAGAACCTACAACAATTACAGGTTCTATCCGCCCACAGTGATTGGCCCCCATTGGGGGCCACACAAGTCTGGCTTGCATGGACCTGAAAAATAATTGGCAAGTCTCAACATTGAAGCTATTTTGAGATTGAATAATTTTGAGCCCAAAGCCTATTTTGTGATATTTTTTGTCTCAAAAAACGTGATCAACATATCAAGTTGAAGGGCCATTTCAACATCGCTACAGTCAGTTAGTTGAACAGATCTCCATCGCGATCCCGGGGGTTCAGCGTCATCACCACGTAGTGATGTAGAGGGCAAACTATTAGCCTCACATCGCCATCTTGAATAATATCTAATAAGTAAATGAACTGCAAATGACAATTATCAATGTCTATGTTAAACTGACGGTAGTCAGTTGTGGCCATCATCCCATTTCCAAAGTTGTTTATTAACACATGTTGATCCACCTAAAACACTGATGAATCTGGAATCGTTAATTCCCCAATTTGTGAATCTACCTGGGTTATTCGGGAGAACTAAAATAGGGACAACATGGGACAACTATGTATATATATATATATTAATCTTTTCATATCTATTCATTCTATTTCAAATGTTGAGGGTTTTTTTTTTAAGGACCCCCAATGATGCTACCTCCGATAAGCCTTTTCGGGCCAGCCAAGCAACACCGCTATGGAGGAAGGCCCCCAACAGTCTCACACAGTGGAATTGATCCTGTGGCAAAAACAGAACATGGGAGAATCACCCGGAAAATGTGGTGATTTCATGGGATTGAATGGGGTTTAAGCAACCAAAAATGGTGAATGGGATTAAATATGATTTAACCATTGAAAATTTGGCTTCGATATGATTTGTAATTGGACATGGGTGGAAATTGAGATGTGGGGAATTGTTGGGATACTAGCTAACCAACTATATATATATATAACTATATATAAAAAATATATATGCTAACATATGCTAACATTTGGGGTATATTGATGGTAAATGTTACCATATATAGCATACATGGATCCTATGGGTATATAATTAGGGTCGGGCCGAGGATGGGTGGGCACACCTCAAATGGCCAATTGGATGGGAAAATACTGACAAACCATCAAATTTTAGTGTGTTATATATCATATTCAGACTAACCCATCTTGGCAACCAAGCCAAGTGGCGAATGGCAAGTCGGCCCGACAAAACTTCAAAAAATGCTTCATGTGTGGAATCTCTCCCTCTCTCTCCCTCTCTCTCTCTCTGTGGGCTACTATACATCATCTCAAATAGGGTTACTGTATACCGAACAATGAACTAACATTGGGGATGGTTTATGGCATTGGGTTTACCACGCAAGTACCCTCCTGTAAACTAACATAGATGTGAAACACAACATCGTGTGTAGGTGGTTTTCCTAGGGAAACCATGCGTTTTCCAGATCTTTTTGTATCTTTACCCGAGGGTAAATCACTTTTTTCATAGGGAACTCATCATAACTCATCACAACTCATCATAAATCATCATAAATCATCATTAAAAAAATCAAACATCATCAAACATCATCATAAATCATCATAAATCACCATAAGTCACCATAAGTCATCATAAGTCATCAATCATCATAACTCATCATAAATCATCATAAACAATCATAAATCATCATAAATCATCATAAATCATCATAAGTCATCATAAGTCATCATAAATCATCATAAATCATCATAAATCACCATAAATCATCAAACATCATCATAAATCATCATAAATCATCATAAATCATCATAAATCATTATATAAATCATCATAAAAAAAATCAAAATTCATCAAACATCATCATAAATCATCAATAATCATCATGAATCATCACAAATGATCATAAATGATCATAAATCATCATAAATCATCATAGATCATCCTAAAACATCCTAATTCAAGCTAAATCATCCTAAATCATCAAAAATCATCATAAGTCATCATAAACCATCATAAGTTATCATAAATCATCATAAATCATCCTAAATCATCTATAACAGCGGCCATTTTCCATAGCTCTTCAAGGATGTTCCCAGTTCCATCAGTCCCTTGGCCTCTGGGTCTGCCTTCCGGAGATCTAACCTTGGCTCCCCAAGGTGTGGACGTGACGATGGGGGACCCTTTTAAGGCAATATCACCGCATCATATGGCCAAACATATGGTACTAACGTACCTCTATAAGAAAGGATCCAGAAATTCCCGATTCTTGGGTGTTTTTGGCATTCTTGTTGGTTTCGGAACGTTGGACCTTGGAAGATGGTGTGGCATTTTCTTGGAGCAAAAAGGCTGCTATGATGATTTAATGGACTAGGAATTCAGCAAGATATGGGGAGATGTTCCGAAAAATCAACACGAAAGGGCCAGTTTCATGGAGTTCACCAGATGTCCCGCGACGTGTTTTCCAGGAGAAAAACCATGGCTCAAAGCAACGCAACGTGTTTTGGGGATAGCAAGGGACCACCAATAGCGATAGCAAGGAAACCGACCATCAGCATTGAGGAAATGCGTCTGGTGCAAACCATTCTCCAATAAACCAATAAACCATTATATATAATGTACATATATATATAATATTATAATGTACATATATATTAAATTATATTACATGCATTTCCTTGCCGCGGATCCTACCCAAAAAAACTAACTGTACATGCCATCTGGGTAAATTGCTATATTTGAGCAACCCGATATAAGGCTATTTTGGGATAACCCCTAAGCATCATTCCTGTGACGTCGCTTAAGAAGGTCATCATCCAAGGAAATCATACCTGGTCAAGCCCTGCGAATACCCAACGGACATCAACGGACAGTCACAGTCGCCGCTCTGATTTTTCGCCGGCTTGGAGGCAACTTAAAAAAGCCCGGAAAATCGGCTACAGAGCTTTGAAAGGACACGCGAAGTGGGTCAGTGATTTACCACGAAATGTTGGACCCAACTTCCAATCCCACCATCGTCCAGTCCCACTGAACGAACGACCGGGCCGCAAAGAGAGAAATTTTGGCTATGGCACAATCCCAAATTTAGATAAATTTAGCATATGTGAAGTTCTTTCCCCATTTCCGCAGAGTTTTGGCATTTCATAAACTATCCATCAATGTTTTTTTTTTGACGGGAAAATCTACCGGAAAAGCCCATTGACATCCGCCGTCCAGGCGACAGAATGTTGACTTCCACCTGGGCATTGTCTCTGTAGCGCTCCACATCTCGAATCACCTCCGAAAAAAACCGTTTTGGTGGCTGGACATCACAAAAATGCAGTTTTTTTTGACGGGAAAATCATGGACGCAGAATATATATGATAATAAATGGATATATGATAATAATGGTGGATGTTCTAAAAATTGCTCTGTTTGATGACCAAATGGCAAAAGAGGGTGATTGCCAAAACCAAAAGACATGTAGATTGATTTTTTGTAAATTTCACAACATGTGTTGACCATGCGTTGACCATGTGTTGACCCCAAATCAGGTGCTTCTAGAGTCTCAAAAAGTGGCACCGTCCAAACAAACCTCAGGACGTCTGCTGGTTGAACCCCGCCTTCAAAGCCACATCCTTGGCTGTAGATCATGCAATGCTTCTCTTGGAAAACAACTTGAAACAACTTGCGGGAAGTTTTTCTTAAACAAAATGGTCGCCCAAAAACGCGAGGCGCATTATTTTCACCATTAAAATGCGTTCTCTAGGGTAAACCGGGTAAACCCAATCGTTCCACCCGCTTTTTGACACTAAATCAGCTGTTTGAGGTGAACCATTTAAATGGGTTATTTCGAGATAGTTACCTCAATCCTAATCATAGTTCCAGTGTTGCAGCAGTGAGGTGATGATAAATGCCGATTAGGATGTTAGATGGCCATGAACTGGCCATTTATCATCCGTATGACGCCATCAACATGCCATTAAACCAAGAATGTTAAGCTGGTTGGTAGCTGACCTACCCCTCTACAAAATATGAAAGTCAGTTGGGATGATTATTCCCAATATATGTAAAAATAAAAAATGTTCCAAACCACCAACCAAAAAATGTTGTTGCTGTTGTTGCTGTTGTTGTTGTTGTTGTTGTTGCTGTTGCTGTTGCTGTTGCTGTTGTTGTTGTTGTTCTTGTTGTTCTTGCTTTCACTTTTCGATGGTCCCACCCTCAATATATGTGGTTCTGGTTTGTGTCGCTGTCCTGTCCAAAGTGAACATGACGTCATCAGTCTTTCATTACGATCTTTCGACATGTCACTGGTGGTCACTGCGGTTGCGCCAGGTAGTTTTTTCTGTGGGATCCACCCAATGCCATCAACGATATGACTGGTGGTCATGTTGAGTCATCCAGTGTTCGGGGTATACCAGTGTACCGAACAATCATTGGGACATTTATATTGTAGATACATGTAGATAGAGTTGGGGACCCCATAGCCAGTGTATCAACATCCTTCATAGCTGGCCGCTATTGTAGATACTCAACATCTATTGAGGGATGGTTTGTTATAATCATAGAATTGGATCATGGGAAAATTTTAACCGGAAAGCCCGATTAATTTGATGGTCAAAACCCATGGTAGTTTCCGGGGTCCAGATTTTCCCCAAGAAACCAATCCAATGAATCAAGGCCATCAGCTTACCCTCTGGTATTTTAACATAGCTATTGAAAATGGGCATTTATACTGAGTTTTCCCATTCAGAATGGTGATTTTCCATAGCTATGTAACAGTTTACCAGAGGGTACCGAGATCTCGTCCCAAGGTCCGTATCCTCTTGCAAATCTCGGGCTTTCAGCACTCGTCCAAAGGCTCCGTCGCCCAAAAGCTCTTGAATCTGTGTGAAGAAGAAGAAGATTTGGGACAAAAAGGGATCTGGTGATTCCAAGATACTCATATACATTTATATATATATATACATATATTGTTCATATAATATGTGATTATCAGAATATCATGGAATATCGATATCATTAAAAGAATTGACTCAAGCATCCCGGCCCCAACACGTGTTCTTTTTAAGGATCCACATGGATTGATGATGATTGTTATGCTTCATTGCCATATAGTGGTGATATTATAGTGATATTATTCGATAGCAAAATTTTGGACATCGTGGATCCTTAAATTTTCTTAAATGTTTAAAGGGATCCATGAAAAACACTCTTGGGATATCTTGGGATCCATAAATGGATACCCTCTGATAAACTAACATAGCTATTGAAAATGGCCATTTATAGTGAGTTTCCCCATTAAAAATGGTGATTTTCCATAGTTATGTAACAGTTTACATGAGGGTAGTCATAAAGTCATGGAAAGTCGGGATCCATCTTGGGATCCTATCGCCTGGTAGCGGCAGTCCAGGACCAAGCCAGCTTGCCATGGAAAGTGAACGCGACTTTCCTCAGTTTTTTCGCGTGAAAGGTAACAGAAAAAAAGCCCTTCGAAATTGGCACGTCTTATGACTATCTATCTATCTATCTATCTATCTATCTATCTATCTATCTATCTATCTATCTATCTATCTATCTATCTATCTATCTATCTATCTATCTATCTATCTATCTATCTATCTATCTATCTATCTATCTATCATCTATCTATCTATCCATATATATATATATATTATTGTATATAGATCATATGTAGGTCAATAAGATGTGGTTGTGACTTAAAACACATTTTGTTAGATGGTCTATCTAACCCTAGCAAGACACACACAATGATTAAGCCTGTGGATGCAAGGCGCAGGCCCTTGGCACCGCTTGGAGGGGCACATCCCACATGACATATGTTGATATCTTTGCATATGTATGTGTATATTTATAAACAATAAACAAAAATATATATATATACAGACAAAGAGAGACCCCCAAAACAAGATCGCCCTGTAATATGATCATCAATGATCATTTATCATTATGTCAGATTCTTTCAGATTCATGCTGGTTGGTGGTTTCAACACCGCTGAAAAAATATGAGTTCGTCAGTTGGGATGATTATTCCTAAGATATGAAAACATTAAAACATGTATAAACATCTTCCAAACCACCAACCAGCTTTATATGGTCATATATAGTTAGTATCCTTTGTATCCCCCAGATTCACCAAAAATCTTCCAAACCACCAACCATGGTCAAAATATTAGTCAGTTTGGATGATTATTCATGATTATTCCATATTATTCCGATATGAAAAACCACTATGGAATATTTTTATGATTATTCCACATTACCATCTGGTTATTTAACATAGCCATGGAAAATCCCTTATAAATGCAGGTTTTAGTGGGAAAATCATCCATAAATGGGCCATTTTCCATTGCTATGTTAAATAACCAGGTAACCAGAGGGTATTCCATAAAATTTCCATTAAAAAAATCTTCCAAACCACCAAAAATTCGCCATGTCGATTCCCACTTTTTCACCAGCTCCACCAGCTCCACATGGCGCTCCAAGCCACGTCCTCGTCCCCCGGCGATTTCGGCAGCGCCTCAGTCAGCGCTTGCAGCGCCCCGGCCGCGGTCAGAGCACCACTGGGAGCAGCGCGGCTGCGGCTACGCTCCATGGCGCCGGGTCCAAGGTTCAAGGCTTGGGTAAAAGTTGAGGTACTTTATGAGGAATTTATGGGATTTAAGAGGATTTTATGGGATTTTATAGGGTTTTATGAGATTTTATGGGATTTTAGAGGATTTTATGAGGATTTTATGATATTTTATAGGGTTTTATGAGGATTTTATATGGTTTTATGATATTTTATAAGATTTAAGAGGTTTATGTAACATTTATCTGTGTTTATCTGGGCGAAAAGTAGGCATCATATGATGATGGTTTGATTTATATTATATATATATTTTCTGTCTTTGATTCCATTGTCTTCGCATCCTTTCCAGGAACCTGCCTCACTCACACCAAGCAGCTGATGTTTCGGCACACAAGGGATTTTGTTTGTGTTCATGTCATGTTGACACGACGACATGCACAGGAACTCAATAGTCCTGAGATGGTATATGCTAGCACCGCGCGCCAAGCTATTGCTATCACCGTCTCCCATTGGGAGGGTCGGGCGCGCAGCGGGCCAAAACAAATTGTGATCCCATGCTCAAACTCTTGCATCTGCAAGAAAACGGTTTTGTCATTGCACTGGTTTTCATTCCAAAGTTCCATTTCTGTCTTTGATTCCATTGTCTTCGCATCCTTTCCAGGAACCTGCCTCACTCACACCAAGCAGCTGATGTTTCGGCACACAAGGGATTTTGTTTGTGTTCATGTCATGTTGACACGACGACATGCACAGGAACTCAATAGTCCTGAGATGGTATATGCTAGCACCGCGCGCCAAGCTATTGCTATCACCGTCTCCCAACTATCCACTCACTTGCTAGAGCTTCACATCAAAAGCCGCAAACAGAAAACTCTGCAAGCGGCCACATGAGTCAGTCGTCACACGAGTAAGATTAACTGGATCGTCCATAGGTGACAATGATTTCTGCAACAGCCATACATGTGGTACCAACTTGCACCATCGCAACCACACATCACGCACTGCAGGCCCCAAGAGCTGATTGGAACGCAAAATCGCAACCTCTCCTTTGCGAATATATTCACGTGCTGACCTATCTGACAGCCAACGGCCAAACAGCATAATGTCGGCAATTGGGACGCCACGGCGACTGAGCTCTGACGCCCCACTTCTGCGAAATGAATGTGTGGTAAGTGAAATGCCCTCTGCCTGCAACATGGATGCCAGCTTCTTAACCCAGCGTAAAACAGAAGCATAGGACATGTTGAACACTAAATGCTCTTTGTCATCCCACCCTGTAATTTGCTGGAAACGCATGAACCATTGTATCACCAACGTGTTTGTGATAACCACCTTCTGTTCCATGCCACGCTTTGTATTGCCCAGACACAATGTGAGACCCCCTGCACCCACAAACACATCCTTCCACTTCAGTTGCAAAGCTTCACCGACTCGTAAAAGTCCAGCATAACATATGCAAATAATTATAGCAAGAGGATATCTGTTAAGTGCAAAAGAGGCTACCATCATTGCTGTCACAAGTTCCGGGGGAGCTGCAGCGGCTTGTTGCGGCGGCTGCAATGACCCCCAAACATCAAAAACCTTCCAGGCAATCTTGTATTTACAGCGTGGATACATGCGACCCAAAGCTGACAGTAATGACCCATAGTCGGATCGACCAAATCCTTGTTCATACCCATCAATCAGCCACTCAGCTAAAAAATAATCTTGTTGCTCTTCACTCATCCCACTCCAATCGACACCAGTTGATTGCAACTCACGATTGAGGAGGTCGATCGCTTGCTGATACTTTGCCTTGGTGACATCTTTCAAGGCACTCAGCAAAAAACGTTCGACTCGGGGATGGCCATTTCCAAGCTGTACTGACTGCGCCAGCCCAAGGATCAACACCCATGTGCTGATCCAAAGCGTTGAGACGCGGAGCATAGGGACACTGGTAACCATGTATGTGTGCATGCCTAAGGCGCTCCACAAATTGCCTTGCCAGTTCGTGAGAAAAACCAGATGGATATTTCGCTGCTGCAGTGGTTCCAAACTCTGAAGTGATCGGATTGAAACCCGACAACTGCTCATGTTTGAACGGATGATTGCAACATCGAACAACTGAAGAACAAGCTTTTGGTAACACTAAACCAGTAGGTTTCTTTGTGAATGCCCCAAACATGCACTGGTCCACTCGAAAATAGCTGAGCCCAAAAATCTGCTTCAAAATTTTCATCTCAACACTGCGAAACACTGATGGGAATGGATCTCTGCCGCGGTCATGTGGATGCTCAAATCCTACCCAAGCTCCAAACATTCTGCCCTCCCCCAGAAGCCCGATACACAGCAGAGCCAGTACTGATCCGATAGCCACTGCCAAGACCTCCTTCGGCCGCAAGTTTTTGAGGGGACGCCAGACATCCGCCCTAGATCTCAAAGGTCTAGGACCCCAAGTGCCCGGCTTCAATCGACGATGTCTCGCCGCTGAAAAAGTGGAACGAGGAGGAGAAGCAAATACACCCACAACCCTTCTGCTATGAAATAATCTTAGCAACGCATGCCCATGCTCCATGTTGAGTAAATCATGACAGTGAAATTCATCTTGCACAACATTCTCCGCCCATGCACACAATGGATCAACTCTCAAGCCAACTAAGTGAAAGCCTTGGTCGCTAGCCAGCCTCTCAACCCAGCTCACCAGATCATCGTCCCGTGAAGCACCTGAGCACAGATGCACAAAGACCTTCTCACCACCAGCCCAACCCTTCAAAGTAAATGGATCCAGCATCACTGTTTCGATTGCTGGCAAATCATCTGATGCCAACTGCTGACTTGAGTGCAACATGGATGTAATGTTGGAGGAGGATCCCTCAATTTGATGCGCCTCACCTTCAAATCGGCGCGATGGCTCATCCGCAGGGTTGTCGCCTGACGGTACCCACGGGTAAAAGACCTCATGACCTCCAGCAGTACATATTGCACACATACGCTGGCATCTGACATTTAATAGATGACTTGCTGAGCGGCCCTTGCAAAAAGCTCCCACGCATGATGCACTGTCCATAGGATGCACAAATCTGCAGCCATCATCCACCGGCCTACGCAGCCGGTCCTCTGCACACCACAGAGCTGCATCTGCCTCACCAAGGAAAATGTACCTTGGCCGGGATGGAGCACCAATCTTGTGCCAATGGAATCTATCACGCGGCAATTGCAAACGCCGTAGTGGACAAGTGTGTTCTTCTGTCAACCCAATCCCATATGGTAACGATAAGTTGGTATAGACCCCATTGTGATCACTGAGTTGCGCCATGAGTTGCACAAGGTCAGGAGGCATAGTTGCCCAAGCTCTTCCCAAACCTGTCATGCTGGCATCAGTGCACTCGACCCTTGAACTAAATGGAGCTGAAAGATTGAACTGACAATAAGGCAATAGCATCGCCGCCATAAAAATCTCTGTCCATACGTCGTCAGGGATCTGAATTCTGCGGGTTTTGCTCTGTCGCTGTTTTTCCAACCAACCATATGTGACATCAAATACCGAACGCATCACAGGACGACAAGCATGACTGTACCCAAACTTTCCAACCAGTCTCTCAACATCACCCAACAAAACCTTATGTTGTGCCAGTATGTGAAATGTGGCTTGAAAAAGTGATTGACGTTTTGCCATGTTCACGCCCACCCAATGCTCATCAGGATCAACATAAACACCCTGTACTTCATGTCCTGGTTCAGCATTGACACTCTTTTTGCTGTTAGGATGAACACCATAACCCTTCCATGCCTCCTCTGCATCGCTGAGCCAACGAGGCCCAACAAGTGGTTGATCGTTCCGTCCTGCATGCTCCAATGCCCAGATGTCATCACAGATGGACCCCCAAATTGGAAGCTCTGACGGTGCAAATCTATCTGGATGGAGACGTCTCTCAGCAGGCATGTGACTATCATCCGTGGCCATATCAGTGACTTGCTGAGCCCATCCAGCACTAGGCCCGAATCCCATCGGAGCCGTTCTGCTTGCAGGATAACGCCGCTGGCCATTGTCTAGCACTATTGGGGGCCCACACAACCATTTTTGCCACTTCTTACCGACTTGCAGAGAATGGAAATAATGCCTGGCATCCCTTTTACTAACAAGAATCTTGCCAGATTTTGGAACCATGACCACCCTTAGCTTAGGGATATACGCAAATCGCGGCCTAGGCAACTTCAAAGGATCGATCAACTGATTAACAGAAGGGTCAGTGATAACCCTGTCCTCGTCAATGTCCTTGGGAACTGCGAAGGCACCGGTGAGGCAAAGCACCCCACGATGTTTGGCCACCTGGGACTCACGTTTCAGCACATGCAAGCCCGTCTTCACGTTCTTGCGAACCAACATAGGATAGCTCTTATGCAACCAGGTATGACCACGCTTGACCCTTCTCGGACGCAGTCTGGACGGCAACAAAAGAGCTGACGGTTCCATGACTTGTTGTGCAAACTGTGGATGATCATGTTGGAACAATGATTGCAAATCAACTGTGGCTGCTGAGGCTGGCACTCCGCCCCTCTCGCCAAGTGGGATCGCTACACCACCTCCAGCATAATGCTGACTGTGCTTCAAAAACTCCTGAATCTCTCCTAGATCCTGGGGCTTGAAATCCACCATCATGGATTCCCAACCGGACCTCAACCGGGTCTGGACACGATGTTGGGCAGCCGTCACAAAGGTACTTCGGCCTCCACGACCCCCATACAGCATGTTGAGCAACGCCTGTACAATGTTGCAGCCACGAGCAACCAGCAGATGATCACCAGCTGACAAATCGCCCATGACATACTTCTCCACTTTGCCCTTGTTTATCATAGGAGGCAAGGGGAAAACATGCTGCAAGCTGTATCCACGATCATGATCTTTACGAAAACCAACACCGAATTCTAAGTTTCTCTTCAGCTTGGATTGACTCGCACCCAAATTCCAGAGATACAGTCCAAAACTATGAACAGAACCAGAATGAGCAAAGATCTGTTCAACTGAAGTGAAAACCATGCAAAGAAACTGTGTCCCGCTGACAGGAGCACCATTGCGACCCTGCCAGCGAGCCACAGCCTTCCTGAAACGACCTGCTAGTTGGTGAGAGCCAGCATGCTCGAGCTGGCTAAGGCATTTCCCGACGGTATCAACTCTATGCACTCTGCTTTTTCCCAACTGCCTCCCTTTCGTTTGGCCTGCTGGATGGCAAGAATGCGCTGTGCCAATACGTCCATTGCCCTTGAGATCTCCCGTCTGTTGATGCAGTCCATCGCTTCTGCCAGAGTCAGAACTTCTCGAACATCTCGGATCTCGGTCAAGCCTGAATGCTGGCTGGCCCACTGAACAACATTCGCCTCCCTGAGTTGGGAACTTTTTGTCATCCGTCCCTTTGACAATCTGGCATAAATTGACGCCAAAAAGTGGGCACTCAGAGCTCCTGGATGTTTCGTCGCATAGGCCAGAAGTTCTCCTTTCCTTTTGAACTTCTGGGCATCCACGGCATGCACCTCGTCGTAGTCCAGCTTCCGGGACTTTGCCTTGTCCCTCCATCTCAGAGGGCCCGAGCTGTTGCTCGAACTGGATCTGCTGCTCCTGGTGGAACGAGACCTGGAGGCCGACGAGCTGCGGCTCGAAGAGGAGTCCTTCTTTTTCTTCTTCTTGGATTTCTTGTCCTTCTTGGACTTCTTCTTTTTGCTTCGAGACTTTCTCTCCTTCGAGCTTTTTCGACTTTTCCTTGACATCTCCTTCAGCTCCTGAATGGCCTCTGACAGTGACTGCATGTTGAACGGATCTGGACGCACTTGCCCTCCATCGGCTACCCCTGCCGGGCCTAGAGCCCCTGCAGCCACGGCTGGTTGCTGCACCAAAGCACCTCCGGGAGCGACTGCCCCGAGATCCAGCTTCACCAAGTCCATGCCCGTCCCTGGTACAGTGATTGGAAATGACTGAATCCCCTGACGTGCCAGCTGCACACCTAACAGTTGTCCCTCCTGTCTCAAGGCATTGATCTGATCCTGAGTTGGTGCCCACTTCACGTTGACATTCTCCGGTGGACAAATCCAATTGACAGTAGCTGCTGCTATGCCGGCTGGTGGAGTCCTGCCTGCTCCCATTCCCACTGGAATTCTGATGGAAGCTGGGATGCATTGAACCAGGCTCCATATCCATTCGTCACCGTCACCACTGGTGGTACGAACCAACAACTCTGATGATCCCTGAGCCACACCAGTTGACCACACTTCGTCCCACTCCCCACTGCGCTCGAGCAACAAGAAACCTTCAGCCACTGCCATTAGCTGACAGGTTAACTCACAGTGCTCTGATTCACAATGGCTGGAAGTGGCACGCTGTTGACCAGCACAGTAGATCAAACAGCCCACAACGATGCAACCACACTGAAAAGCAATGCACTACCCAGAGAAGAAATTGCAACAACCAAATCAGTTCCTTACGGAGCTCAAAGGCTATGTAAAAACCTCCCAGATAGAAAGCAAACAGATGCAGCCGCTCAAATTGATCGCCCAATTGATCTGCTATATGGATCAGCTGATGTGCAGATTGGCCCAGAACCTTCACACCCTCTATCGCCAGCCAACCCTTCAAGAGACTTCCAAAGGTAATGCCACCAGTCAATACTATGGCTCCTCGGATTGCGACCTGACTCATTTGGCACTTGAGCCAAAACAAATTGTGATCCCATGCTCAAACTCTTGCATCTGCAAGAAAACGGTTTTGTCATTGCACTGGTTTTCATTCCAAAGTTCCAATAATTATATCGATTTCTGTGTCACTTCGTATATGTTTTTATATATATATATAATCGAAAAGTGGGCTTCTTATGATGCTGGCTTTATGATGGTTTTATTGATCAATAATTTCCGTATAACCATGTGCAACCCCATTCCTCCGTTCATATTGAGGCTGCGGAGTCACCATCGCTTACTAGGGGATAAAGACACATATGTGGGACTATACAATGGGAGTGTTCCATAGGATCGGGGGGTGAGATTTATCTTATGCAAGGTGGTGCTATGTGGCCATGTGGTGCCCCCCCCAGTTGTTAGTTGGTTTATAAACTGTTCTAGACCCCCATTGGTGGCCCTTAAGTATAGAGAATTATCAAGAATTATATAGAATTATATCTGCCCTTCAATCATCATAAACCCAAGTGAAATTGGAGTAATGTTGAGTGATGCTCACCAACTTTGCTGAACTCACTACCTTGTACTATCGACCTCTGAGGTGACAGGTGAGAAAGCAGCTGATCAGCTGAGCTTTCGAGGTGTCTACTTTCGATTCCATTTAGATTCGACTTAACTCTAGAATTCCTGCATTTGAGTCTATTTAAGTCACTTAAGTCACTTAAGTCTAGAATTCCAGTTGCGTTTTTAGACCATTTTGGATCTAGAACTCCCACGCACACGTGACGTTCATGCGGCTGTCTGCAATCCTGGGCTTCCAACAAAGACAGCTTCCAGGTGACATCATGGAAGACATGGCCATGTTGAAAAACGCGACCCTCCGGTGTTTTGGTTTCCACAAGACCTTACTGGTTGGTGGTATACCTACCATGGTTTTCTTTACCATATAAACCACTAGAAATATTGACCTTTACTGCTTGGTGACGCAATAACAATCTTGAAAAATATGAGTTCGTCAGTTGGGATGATGACATTCCAGTATATGGAAACATAAAAAATGTTCCAAACCACCAACCAGCTTAGAATCGAAAATCATCGAACTGGGCCATGGCTTCCAGTAGATCATCGACTTTCAGAAGGGTCGTCTTCCATGGCCATGTTCGATTACCGGAGGGTATCCAGGCTACACGATTGGGGTACAACATTCTTGACCTCCATGTCTTGGTTCCACCTAGACTCTCTACCCACAAACATTGGTATTTTTCTGCAGAGTTTCATTACTTTTACCAGGTCTGATTACCATTTTTTATGTACTTGGAGGATCTGAGTGGAAAAAAATCCCGGTTCAAACTGCCATAATCGCTTCTTTCGCGCACCCGGAGGGGCAGGAGCCATGGAGTGCCGAGGGGTCGTGAACGCCAGAGGTAGAGAGAGACCTTGGGAGCTGGTGAATTGGTCGGCTATGACCATTATGGACCATGTAAAGCCCCTTTGCCCCTTCAACTACAGTGATCAAACACCTCAACAAATATCATTTATTTATTATATTCATTTATTATTGTACTGATCACCATGGTACTTTCAGTGAACATTGTTTCCACATCCCCCCAAGGGTCATGTGATGTATCAATGACACGTTTGATAAACTATTAGCCTACCAAGAAGAAAACACAAATTGGACAAACAACGACTTTGATAATAGGGTATTTCTGTATTTCCGTGCATTCCTAATACATACGTGAATATTTATGATAATCATAGATGCCTATATATGTAAACATAGATGCCTATATATGTAAACATAGATTCCTATATATGTGCGCAGTGGATAACATTAGCTTACATTCTATGATGTGTTTAAATGTGTTTAACGCACACACATATATATATATGTAAATAATATATATATATATATAATAAATATGTGTATATATATATATATGTGCGCATAACTATAATCAAACACACAGCATACCAGCATGGATCAACAAGTACTAAGTACTACCAAACCTAACGTATAGCCTATAGCACTATCGTAACCCCCAAAAAGATAGAGAAAAAACATCATCACTGTTTTAGTGGAATTGTACTTGTTCTATCTATTTGGGGCTTCCCATCAACCGGTTTCGCAGAATTTCACCAGAATCTCCCATCAACAAGGCACCGAAAGAGGAGCGCCCTTCCTTTCCGTGGTGGGATCAAGTAGGGGCTACCCCAATGTACCGTCTCACCCTTCAAGATGGCCTGCGAGGGCTTGCGAAGACTGGTTTTCTGGATGAGTGGATGACCGGAAAAAAATGAGAATCTAATTGGAATATCATGGGAACACACTGGTGTTACGAATGTTTCTTTCAGATTTGAGAAAATGTATAATAATTATGTAATGTGCGCATGTTTTCTTTCATCTGTTGAAGATTTTCCCCTTTCTTGTGCCTTTTTGACTAGAACATGGGAACATTGCTCAATTTTACAAGCATCTATTGGGGACGGATTCTTATTTGGCGTACCCACATTCTGAGAGAACTGCAGGCAACCAAGAACCGCCAATTTTTGGATCTCTATCTTTCGATAGTACCAACTCCAAATTCCTTGAACTTGTTTACAGCTCGAAGATGCTCGAGTGTAAAAGAAATGCACGCCCCCGCTTGGATTTATGACAGTCAACTTGGTTTCATTAGTCCTCTGGTAATTTAACATCATTACAAAATGTACGAGCAGTAATATAATAACATAATAATAATAATTATTATTATATATATATACATAATTACTAGACTATCCTATGATAGCTAAATTCACTATTACTATACATGGGGCCAATCTCCGAAACTATATAGAATTGCCGTAGATTTCTCTTGAGCCACCTCAGCGATCAAACCGTTTTTTTTGATGCAGCTGCTGGCAGTTGTTTTTTTGAGGCCGAGGGTTGCTCAAAGGTGGGTCAGAGCCATGAACAAAACTAAGTTGGGATGGATGCTAGCACATAATAATCGCCAAACAAAATGAACAGTAGTTCATCACTACAGTATTTTAATGGGATTTTACTTGTGTATTTTTTTTGGAGGTTGCTATGAGATTTTGCTGCTTCAAGAAGTCCGGTTGTGCCCCCTGCCGGTTGTATCCTGAGGTTTCGGAAACATATAGCTAGCTCAGCTCAATATTAAACAACCCCAGAAACCAGTGCTCAGTATGGGATTTACACATATTTGGAAGCATTTACCCTCTGGTAAACTAACATAACTATGGAAAATCACCATGTTTAATGGGAAATTTCACTATAAATGGCCATGTTCAATAGCTATGTTAAATTACCAGAGGGTAGATTGATTTCGGAGGTAATGATCAAAAATATTACAGTAAGGCAGTAAGGGGATGGGATGACCATGGATTATCTTTGTGCCTTGCCCACAACAAAAAAAAATGTCCTGTCACTTTCTCTTTATTTCCCTACGGACTTGGTGGGTTGAATGTGGGTAAACATGTGAATCGAATTATAGACCATACGTACACCGTAGATTTCTTTAGCGTGGTGGGCATCCCATGTGTTAAAAATAATAAATAATGTAAAAAGATATGATCATCAGGATTGTTTCATATTGGTTCACCCTAAACATGTTACGATAAACGCACCCTAAATGGTCCCAAATATGTGTAGATGCCTTATTAAACCATTTTTGGGGGGTGTTTAATATTAGGTTGATGGGATTAACTAATCATCTATCAATCATCATATCTCACTATCTTTCCATAGGTTTGCCATATTGTTGATTGTTAAATCCACTAAATCCACCAGAAAATATAATTCCCATCCCATATTGTTGATTGTTAAATCCACTAAATCCACTATACACCAATCATATGCCCCATGGCAAACAAAATCTCTAACCCGCTTTGCATCTCCATCTTCTGCAACCGCCCAGCCGTGAAATCAGGCGCTGTCGCTGTCCAAGTCGATATTGGCCTCTGCAGCCGGGTCAAGATTCGAGCTATGGTGTAGTTGGGGTGGATTTGCGAAAATTGATTTACAATCTACAGTTGTAGATATAATCTACGATAGATTATTTTATATATTATGTTATATTAAACTACACTATGATATACTATACTATATTATATTATGTAATATTATATTTTATATGTGCACCATAATGTCATAACTAAATACATGGATGTTACATGCAAAAGTTCTTGACCTACATAGCAACACATCTTTTTTTCGCCAGTTTTACCATTCCACCGTCCGGATGGTGAAGAATCTCACAAGGCAAGCCACAAACCAAGGACCCTCGGGGAATCAAACATGGATTGCTTGGAAACCCCATGGCCAAATGAGCATTTTCTAAATTGGAATCAAAATAACATGGAGTATTTTCAATTGCCATGTTTGATTGCCATCTCTCATCATAGTTGCTATAGCGATGATATATTCCGCCATCCACGAGACCACCATTGAATTTGCATTGAATTTGCATGGTTATGCCATCGGTTCCACAAGGATTGTTCATGCGTCTGGCAATGATGCATAACAATGTGATGTTGTTCACTTTCAAAACCCGCGTCTGGCACAGCGTTGCTGCAGCAGTGTTCAAAACCCTCTGCTTCCAACATACTGTTTGGTTCATAGGATTCGCATCATGAGATTATGATAATCCCTTCAGTATATTGGGTACAGCGAATGTAGTAGTACAACCCCCGAAGTAAGCATCAACCATCATTTACCAACTATGTCACCATTATGTCACCATTTTTGCCCCATCCCCATCTCGGGAGATCAGTGTCCTCATATGTTTGATCAACCCTTCCCACATGTGCGGCATATTTTCCCTACAAGGTGGTCCCTCCCCAGTTATAACTTGGTTAAAAAAATCCTGAAGTAGTTCGATATACCTACCATTCTACCATAAACCCAAGTTATCGGAAATATAAACCCGAACTAATCATCAACCAACATTTACCATATCCAATATATCCCCATATTTTTTTGGTAAACTATTCCCATACCGTGTGGTTTTTCCCGAACTTTGTTCATCAACCGACGCAGGTCCAAGTGACTTCTCCCGGCTGCAAATGAACAAAGGTCGTGGCCTCTTTACGGAGGCTGCCCATTTCCGAAACATCTCTACTGCCACTCTCTCTCTCTCTCTCTCTCTCGTATATATATATATATATTAATATATGCACACACATACATATATATATATATATATCGAGGGAGGGAGGGAGAGAGAGAGAGAGAGAGTCATACACATATGTAATATGTACAGTGTGTCTATATCATTGATTATCATTGCATATATCTATATATTGGGTTGACTTGGGTTTCTCGTACTTCAAGCCATGCACTCCTGGACCCCTGCCTCCGCCTCACCCCGCCCGCGTCCGCGTCTTGCACGCGGCTTCGCAGCACCAGAGGCACGGCCACGGCCACGGCCGCCCTGGACGTGGACGTTGTGATAGGTTCTACGGTTCCTTTTGGGAGGATTTCATCAACAAAGTCATGATTTTATAGGGTTTTTATAAAGTTTTTCTAGGAATTCTATGAGGTGAACATGATTAATGGGATTCAAATGGGATATTATGATATAGACGAGGTGAACATTAATTATATATATATATAGAATTCTATGCAAAATAGTTTTCTTATTAATAAATAACATATGGGAATATAATGGTGGCATCGATCCGACAATTTTATGGGGATATCATGATATCAAGTGTGAATTCACATATGGAAAAGCCACTATGAAAGAAGATCATTTTCCTTTGGGGTTTCCACATCCATATGAATCTTCTGCTGCAGATCAAAGTTGTTCCCCGGCTTCGTATTGGGTTGTTGTCTTTATCTCTTGTATTGCGACCTCCTCCTGATCTTGCCTCACCTCTATCAAACTGATGTAAACTGATCGGTATCATTGTCTATTGACCTTATCTCTATTGAACTGTTGAGTATCAATCTTATTTCTGGCAAATTGGTTTCTATCAAACCGATCTCTATGAAGCGCCTCAATATATATATATATATAGTTGTTCATAAATTTTGATACATAGTTGAGCCAGGTGCAAAAACATGCCAGTTGCCATCATGGCATCCTGCACTATAGGTACCGGCCAGTAGATCCTTTGTAGATCGTAAAAACAGGTCGCAACCATGGGGTTACCATGGGGGTTCTATATCTATTACAAGGTATTCGTTTACCCTTTGGCTATTTAACAGTTCGCCATGGAAAATCATCACTTTTAATAGGTACATCATTAATGGGTCATTTTCCAGTTCGCTATGTTAGTCATAACCAGAGGGTACCTCAGGATAAACAAATGAAACACAAACACGACACTGGGCCGTGGGATCAGCTAACTGGATAGTAGTGGATTGTAAATTATAACCCACTACTGGTTGGTGGTTGAGCCAACCCCTTTGAAAAATATCAGTTCGTCAGTTGGGATGATGACATTCCCAATATATGGAAAAATAAAAGTTGTTCCAAACCACCAACTAGATAATATGCTATAATCATCTAAATCCATTTACTAAGTTGTTCACAAACTCCATGGCCCATCTAAGCTTCCATTTCATGACTCTGGCCTTCCTTCGCCCCTTGGCAGGTCGCTCTTCTGCGTCTCCTAAAGGGCGGTATGCTCCAACGAATTCTAGGCCAATGATAACCACACATGGAAAAATGGGTAAATAGATAGGTATTTGATAGGTAAATGATAACCAAATACCTATCTATTTACCCATTTAAACATTTTTAAACATTATAGGCCATTGTTTTGATGTTACCTCTGTATTTACCCATGTTACCCCTTTGTGTCTGGGGTATCTGTCCAAAGCCAATCAGGGGTGCCCAGCAGCTTGGAGAACTTGAAGAACAACATGAAGATTTGCCCTAGGGCAAACTCACATCTAAATACTCAAGATCTAAACTCAGTACTTGGGATATAAATGCGATGATTCATCCAAGTAACCATACCAAGTCATCAAGTCTAAGTATTTAGTTATTTTTTGTTGTGGTTCCAGAAGTCAGGATCCATGTTATTTTTGTCTAACCGAAATCACAACAATTCCGCTAGCTCTTTGGATGTTTTCCTACAAGCACATGGGAATTGCCCACTTCTAGAAGGTCATGTTTTGCAACAATGAGCGCTGACAACAAAGGCACCAACAATCTGCAACTTCAGGGATGTTCCACTTCCAATGTGACATGATGAAACCGCAATACCCTCTGGTAATTTAACATAGCTATTGAACATGTTAGTTTACCAACATGAACCCCCGCCAAAAAAAATGCAGAAATTCGTAACATCCAACAACCAACAAGCAGTGAAAGATTATGTTACATCTAGTGATCCATATATAATAACAGTATCCATGGAGTAGTTATTGTAGTATCCATATTTTTATATAAAAACATATAGTTGGATTGTAGTGATTCTATCTTTTTGGAGGCTACTATAACCCATATGTATATAGCTTTGAATCGTATCCCCATATTATAATAAGGCTACTATAATTATCTTCCCTATTCCCAACAGCAATTCTCTCCACTCACTGGCACTATATAGCTGGGCCAAGAAACTGAAGCACCAGCAATATGATAAGTACACATGGCTTGCCGGAAAATCCCCTTCAGTTATTAATGTTCATTGTTTTTGCAACTAAAAAAGAACATCATTTAGTTCGGGGATTCTCCAGTTGTCTTCTCTGACAGTCCCATTATAACATATTATGACTATAATTCATGATAGTCTGAGTATTATAGTTATAGTTATCCCATATTTATATTGATCCATATCATATATCATGAATTATAGTATATCTCATAAGTATTATCTCATCCCATATTTCATCATGATATCATTCTCATGATCCATGTTCAGAGTTAAACACTCCAGACATATTTGATGAAATCTACAGGATGGGGCCCCCCAGTTATGTTTGCTGCTTTAAAACCCCCATTAAATCCATTAAGTAACATTAAGTAACTATAGTTATTGGTTATCTCTACCATAAAACCATAGAATTCAGCCACAGCCATATCTCAATTGAACGCGATTTCGACGGGCCCATCCTGTATTGATTCGACTATCGACCATGATCTCCCCATCTTCTTCCAGTGGCTGCATGGCTGTCCTTCAGGAGATTCACCCCGTAGGCCCCACAGGGCCTGGCGTAGAAAGGCTTCCAGCCCGAGGCTACCCATGTTCTTCCGGTTTATAGGGATTTCATGGGAATTTTATAGGGTTTCTTGGAAGTTGAATGGGATATTATGGCGAAAGAAGATGAACATGTTTCTCAAACAGGAAAATCTTGGATACATCGTCTTGAAACACGGATCATTTACAAAAATAGCAGTCTCTTTATCTCTCTCTCTCTCGTCTCTCTCTCTCTCTCTCGTAGATGATTTAAGCGGACAATCAACGTAGAAATTATATGATAGGATACCGTATGTTCCTTGAATTTGTGGATGTTCAATGTCCAGCGACTTTTCTTTTCGATTTTCGCCAGGTTAGAGTACTGAGTACAGTATATATCCCTTGTGGATACCTGCAGTGCGCTTTGAAGGAGTCCGGTCTTGGTTTCTTCAGCACACCATTTAGCTTGTCTGAAATTATAGGGGTTGTCGCCAAATGATCAATTCGAGTACGGAACATAATGATCAACCATCAAGTTTGCTGCAGCCCATTTTTGGACAAATCAAGTTTCTGCATTTTTGGGTGATTGGTCCGATATGCAAAGATGAGTTGGCTGGCGAAGTAGTGTGCAAACAACGATATGGATAACTTGTCAGTCTCTGCTTGGGACATTGGGATTTACAGGTGAGCAATTTAAAATCTGCGAAACAACCGAGAGATGGAAACAAGCGGGGTGCACCCACCAGAAACGTGAAATGGAACACGATACCGGAGTTACCAGAGTTACCTGTATTTGAAGGGAAAATCACCGAGCACAATACAGGATGAGGCCCCATAGTTAGCTAAGTTGGTTTATAATTTATAATTATAATAAAAAGAGCGTGTGATACTTATAATGATATTTAGATGGGGTTATAAACCAACTTACAACTGGGGGGCACCATTCTGTATGGGCTGCAAATGGATATAGCACCAATCTAGGGATCATATTCCATTTCCGGGAGGACTTCTTTTTGATACCAGTAGCTTTCGAGCCTTTCGAGCCCCTCAGAACTGTGGCCACCAAACATCCCAAACCTGGTTTCAAGATGTGTCAGCCGTCACTTCTAACGATAGTTTCCCAATGTTTCCCACTAACCATCATTCTTGCCGATGAACATATCGGCATGATAACTCACCAACCAAAGCGAATGTATGCTACCCTCTGGTAATTTAACATAGCTATTGAAAATGACCATGTGTAGTGGATTTTTCCCATTAAACATGGTGATTTGCCATAGTTATGTTAGTTTACCAGAGGGTAATGTCATCTTGAGGTACTTTCCCTTGCGAACCATCATTTACGATGGTCATGGCCGGGTCATTGTCATTCATCCCAACGGGTCTGTCTGACACTTTTTGGAACGCTCTAAATCGCATGGTTGAAAACTTCATGTTACCCAATAGCTATTGAAAATGGTCCATTTATAGTTGATTTACCCGTTAGAAATTTGGATTTTCCGTATCTACGTTAGTTTACCAGAGGGTACCCATTGAAAATGCGATCAATGGCAAGGAAAATTCCCCAATTTCAGGATGGTTCAGGTACCACATCTCACAGCAATAGTCACCTCAACCAATCATCCCAAGTCTGGTTGAAACGCAAAAAAAATCATGTCCAGTCTTAGATGCTCTGCAAAAAATCTTAGGTGTTTGCCAGTTTTTGCTGGTTAGTCTATATCCATATACCTGTATATATATATACATAAATACTAAATTCTATTATATATATCACATATATATATATAACACACATACTCACTTCCAAGAGATGAATGGACCACGGCCCAAGGTCACCATGCCACGAGTGGATTTACATCTGGCACCGGCCAGGGCCGGGTCCGCCGGGTCCGCCTCTTGCATCCGCATGGACCGCACCACCGCGACGTCACCGCTGGCTGGCTGCAAGTATTCCTCAAGGGAAGCATGAAGCTGGATAACTATGGAGATCAAGCATCAATAAGGATGATAGGGATAATGGGGATTCATCAACAACACTGGAATATCTGGAATACATATGGGATTACCCTCTGGTAAAAGTTTACATAACTATGGAAAATCACCATTTTTGATGGGTAAATCGGTAAATCAACTATTTCTATGGCAATTTTCAATAGCTATGCTAAATTACCAGAGGGTATGATGGATTATGATGTATATTAACTGGTTGGTGGTATACCTACCCCTCTGAAAAAAAATGAGTTCGTCAGTTAGGATGATGACATTCCCAACTGAATGGAAAGTCATAAAGTTCATGTTCCAAACCACCAACCAGTATATATCAGTGGTCCCAGTTATATCTTTTTCATAGCAGTTTTATATCTTATACCAGTTGTCAGTGGTATATATCAGCAAAGCCAACCTAATGGCTTATAAAATGGCTTGTGGGTTTCTCAACTTCCCGGGTATAATGGATACAAGTTTCCATCAATAGGGGATGCCCCAAAATGGTTTGTTTATACTGGACAATACCATTAAATCTACCATTAAAATGGATGATTTAGGTGTACCCCTATTTCAGGAAACCTCCATTTTCTTCATGTCATAAGTCATTTGGGATCATCTCAAAGCAACGCAGTCGACCATTTGCTGAATCAGAAGAACATAATCTGTCAAAGTATGGTTTGTTTTCCTAGAATCAATCTACCCTCTGGTAATTTAACGTAGCTATGGAAAATAACCATTTTTGATGGGAAAACTCACTATAAATGGCCATTTTCAATAGCTATGTTAGTTTACCAGAGGGTATTTGGCATCTTGCTTATGGGAAGCATTGGTGTTGGCAATTTGTCTTCGAACTACAGGCATTTCCTGCAGCTTCCAACTGAGATTCGTAAACTTGGTGTTCACTAAACCCTCCAGGAGCAGCGCAGAATCGAGATTCACCATCAAGTAGATCTCTTTCTGATATTATCAGATATGAACATCCAGTGACTTTCACATTTAAACATATTCAAAGATGGTACCCTCTGGTAAACTAACACGACCATGGAAAATCATAATTTTTCATCGGTAAATCCACGATTTCTATGGCAATTTTCAATAGCCAGCTGTTGGTTTACCGGAGCCAAACAACTTTGACCCCCTCTGGGTGCCGGCAAGTCTCCGTGATGCGAGGTTGTCGCAGGGTATCCTCCCAAGACGTCTCGGGGGAAAACAAAAAAGGCCCAGCAAGGGCCAGCATGGAAAATCCCCAAATGGTCAAGGGATTTATGGTGGATTCAGGATGTGCGGGAAACATCTATAAATCTGTGTTGTCCCTCTTTTTTTGTGATTTTTCGAAATAGTTGGCCTCCGGTAATCAACCATACCTTGCTGCACAATCCGGGCATTGAAGGTTGAGGCCCTCAAGATGGTGACCAGTTGGAGTAAACCAACTTAGCAAAGGATTGGGGGCATCAGTTGACCCAGTAACGTGCATTAACTAACTATATATAATGTGGTAAAGTCAATACTGAACCTACCATTTCTGGATGGTTTATACCATAAATATCCATAAATATTGTAATTTTGGGAATGGTGTAGGGAATTTGGTTTAGCACACATTAATTATTGTAGCAACCGCTACGATCACATTTGTTTAATTGGCTGAAAATGACTGTGGGCTGAGTTGAAGTAGCGCATCTAACAAAACACGGCATCTCAATGTATCAGTTTAATGCACTAGGTAACCTCTGTTAACTATACCCTCTGGTAAATTAACATAGACCCTGAAAATCACCAATTTTTAATGGAAACTAGTCTTCCAACCCCGACAACTGCCAGGGTCGAACTGTTAATTTACCAGAGGGTAGATTCCAGGAAAATTAAAATATGTCACGAATCTGAATTCAGACCCTTTGGAGATGATAACGTCCCTTCTTTCTAAACCAGCGAAAACGACGTGAGGTCATGCCGCTGGTAAACGTTTACAGTTGGCTATGGAAAATCACCATCTTGAAGTTCGGTAAATCAACGATTTCTATGGGCCATGTTCAAGTTCGCAAACTGTAACAAATTACCAGAGAGCGATGATAGCTATACCCACTATAGACTATATAATGACATAACTCCACTTAATTTATATCATTATATATATACTGGTTGGTGGATTTAACCATCTTGAAAAATATGAGTCAATGGGAAGGATGACATCCCATATATGAAATGGAAAACAAAATTCATGGTTTTTCAACCACCAACCAGTATATATACACACTATCATTGGCTATACCCACTGAAGCTGGTTTTTCGCCCATGTTTTTTTTTCGCTCAAAACGAAGGGCGTTTTAACCTCTCCTGGTAACGTCTCAGCGCCGGTTCCAAGCGTTCCATGACCTTCTCCTGAACGGGGAAGATGGGCATTTCCCATGGGATGAGATCAACAAATAAACATGGGGAAAACATGGTGAATCTATGAGATACCTGTCAAATTGTCAAAATATATCATCTTTAGCTGAAGAAGTAGATTTTACATCATTTTACATGTGGCAAAAGATTAAGTTGTACTTGTATCTAACCAGTTGGTTGACCCAGTAAAAGCCATGGCAAAAAAATCACGTGAACCAAGTCGCAGTAAGATGAAAAACCTTTAGATTTAGAGCCTTTGAATCCCCATGATCAGCATTACCCTCTGGTAAACTAACATAGCTATTGAAAATTGCCATTTATAGTGGATTTTCCCATTAAAAATTGTAATTTTCCATAGCTATGTTAAATCACCAGAGGGTATTTGTGGGTATGGTTATACTATATATATATATATACTGGTTGGTGATTTCAACCCCTCTGAAAAATATGAAAGTCAGTTGGGATTACTATTCCCAATATATGGAAAATAAAAAATGTTTGAAACCACCAACCAGATATATATCATATTGCATCACTACATTAAATAGGATGTGGATATCGTACAATTATGCACAGGGTATCACATCATAAATCCAATCAAACACAAAGTCATCTTGAAGAAGGGAATATTTTTTACTATAAAACCTATGATACAGTGATGTCAAATCCAAACCTATAAAGACAGGAATATCATGGCGACGTATATCCACACCCTTTAACATAACACATCATACAAATAGATAGTTTCAAAACATCCAAATCCGATGATCATCGGTGTTTTTTGTCATTCAGAAGTAATATTCAAATGCATCATCATCCAAAATCCTATGATCCTATGCATGGGTCAATTGGGAATTTCTGGACCGATTGTCATTTCCAAAAATTTCCGTGCAAAGCCGCAAAAAAGAACATGCATCATCTGATCATAAGGTGTCGATGCACATGGAATCATTTTTTTTAATTCTCTCATTTTATGCCCAAAGAAAATTATAGCATTTTACGCAATGTGCACCAAAAATGAATTCCACAGTGGTAAAATCACTGGCCTCGGAGAGGTTGGCCTCATTGAGCTTTGCCTCAGCTGCAGTTGTGTAGAAGTCCAACGGAGAAACGTGTTTTTAATAGGGAAAAACTCATCTTAAACATCTATTGGGTGATTTTCCGGCAAGCCATGGTTGATTCTCGTGCGGTTGGTATACCTTTCCAATATGATAATGGCGAATTTCAACCACCAATGGGTTGTCAAACTGTGAGCGTCCCAGAATCGGGAGTGCATCTCCAGTTTAAGCAACTTTGGTATGACTAACCAATTGGGACAATCTGATGGACACTCACATCACCTATAAGTAATCCAATGTTGTACCTATTTGGTCAGGTCAGTTTCTAACTGAATATTGCGAAACCATCATAAACTATCGCATTTAGATAATTTGTAAATGGAGGATCGGTTTACTGCCCTCTCGCATTTGAACAGGGATAAGGAAATTTGGCCATGTTAATCCATCTTTATGGTTTTCCCAAATTGCAATTTTCCGTGTCATGTTAATTTCAGTTGAGGGTAGAATCCAATCTCAAAAGTCCAAAATGTGGTAAACTATGGTAAACTCATGTAAATCCAATCATGAACCATCCACAAGTTGGTTTTATTAGGAAAACAGTAAACCTTTGTCTAGGATGTAAAATGATCCTCGAATGATCCAACTGACATCTTGGATTTGCTTCAGGAAACCCCCAAACTAAACAATATTCATCCACATTCACTGTAGGTTCCCCAGTCGCAGTGGATTTCCCATTACCAAAATCATCCACTCAGCAAATCCAAATCATTTGTATTGAACATTATTAAACCCTACCGTGATGTTCAACAACTTAGCTAAGGATTGAGGGCACCTTCCTACTTGGTGGTTCATCGCACTTAGTAAGTGTGCTATAACCCCAGTTATAGTATGTTATAAAAATCTGTAATTTAACATAGCTATTGAAAATGGCCATAGAAATAGTTGATTTTCCCATTCAAAATGCTTGATTTTCCATAGTTTTTTGTATGTTTACCAGAGGGTAATCTCATATGAATTCCAGATATTCCAGTGTTGATTTTCCATTAGCCCCATATATCCCCATATGTCCCCATATATCACCATATATCACTGGCCACCTCAGGAACCTAAATTGAAGGTACCTACCATATATAAGGCCTATTTTTCAGGCTTATGTAAGTGAATATCCCAGCAAAATATGGCCAGAAATATGGTATGTTTACGTACCTCCATTTTAGGATCCTGGAGATCTCCCATAGACATGGGGAAAGCCTAGGAAAGTAGTCTACAAATGGCTGATTTTCCACATCATCGAACTCTTAGTTTACCCTAGGGTGTCCCTATATATCCCCATATATCCCTATCATCCTATTGTTGCTTATAACCCACGTTACTCATACTTTTGTCCCACTTACCTCGGCTCAGCCACCACCACGCGCTGCACGTCAACAGAGGCCCAACTGAAGGCTTCTAAGCTACGGTCCACCTGGGTGGCCAAAAACACCAACAGCTCTTTGGGTTTAACCAACAATGGCGATTTATAGATGAATATAGTTATAATGGTTATATAGTTAACTTATCTATGGCTAAAATTATAGTTATAGTTAATGGTTTGAATATAGTTAATTATATAGTTATAATGGTTAATCTATTATAATCATGACTATCCATTATATCTATGGCTAAAATTTTCGTTGATTGATGGTCAATAGATTGGTTTCAGATAATTTCAGGGAAAATCGGCAGATTTCAGGCAGGGGTTGTACCTCAAAATATCCTAAAAGGTGTGCTGTACATCTTGCCAGCCCATGGGTTTGATATGGAAAAACTGATGCCAAGCAGCCAATCGTGACATTCCAGCAATGTTTAATACAGACCGTCCTCGTTTACGACTATACCTTTCCAACAACTTTCGCGTGGTACCACCCTCATCACATGGTTATCAAAACATGTTCAAAATGAAACTTCCCCCCAAAAAAAAAAACATGACTATGTTTTTCCCCATGCTCGGACAAAACCAGATTGTTTTGAAGGCAAACATTCCGCAGGAAACTCTTGTATATATATATACATAAAGCCCAAAGACCAAAGGTTCCCTAGAAATGTTCCCTTTGTAAACTGCCATGAGTCAACCCACCCACACGAAGCATCTCATCTATAAGGAGCTGGGAAAAGTAACTTTTCAGACACTTTAGCCTTGATGATTGTCTGAGGATAAAGGTACGAAGACTTCACAACCGAATCATGTTGATAAAGCAATAGTAAACCATCCATATGTTGATGATGCGTACTATTCATACCACAAATTCATGGTAAATTTGGGGGTGGTGTACTATTGCTTTACTAAGGCTAACCAACTTTTAAGAGTTAGTCTTATAATATATATATATACATAAAATCTTATGATCAACAACCTTTGTATACATATATAATAGATTCGATTATAATAGATGTTCTTGATTGTTCTTGTATATTTCAATCCTATTCTACCACCACAGTCGTTTGTCATCCGTTTTCCCGCGGCTTTGATGCCAACACCGAAAAACCTCAGGCGTTTGAAAGGCAGACATCACCGCAGCGCTGGGAAAGTCGTCCGGGAAAGACCATTGCCTGGGACCCAGTCGTATCCAGTCGTCAGTATCATCTGATGGCTGCAGCTTGATGCTACTAGCTATACCAAACCGCCTCTGACCGCCTCCAAACATCCCAGGTAAACCTCTGCTAATTTAACATAGCTATTGGAAATGGCCCATGGAAATTGTTGATTTACCCATTAAAAAATGGTGATTTTCCATAGTTATGTTGACAGTTTACCAGAGGGTAACCCCGTCAAGATGCGCGCGGAAGTTGGTGTGTTTGCGCTTGAACCTCGGTGTGGTAATGGCCGAGTCTCGAGACCTCGAGACCCTCTTCGCCAAGGCATTTCTTTCGCACCGGCTTCATGTAGGGCTTAGGGGTTATATGGCTATAGTTATAGGGGCTATATGATGTTACATGATATATGGCTGTAGTATGCTATAGTTACATTGCCAATCTTAGATGCCCTGCAAAAAAATGATAGATTCTTAGCTGGTGAACGTAGACAATCCCATACCAAAAGACTATTCAGGATTAGTTTCTACCCATCTAAGATTGCCCTAGTTTTCAAGAATTCAATGGGTTCCTTCCTCTTGGGGAATCTGGGATTCAAAATTCAAACTTCGACTTCTTCAGAGCATCCCCCTAAAGACCAGCAAATTTGGTCATGCGAACCATCAAATAGTGTGGTAATCTGGCACACCCAATGGCCACCATGTTTTTCCGATGTATGGCACGCTGTATGCTTTTTGTGACTTTTTGTGCTTGGGGGATGCAGTTGGGCTGATTTTTATGTGTATAACTACCGGTATAACCATGGGACTTTATGAAACAAAACGATTTGGACATCACCACAATCATGGAATAATCATGGATATTGTATCATGTATAACCATGGGATTTCTCCAAAAAATCCATGGAAACATCACCAGGATTTATGGCTATCCAACTTCTTCAGCAGAACTGCATCCCCCAGGGCCGCAGGGCCCCAGGGTCCTCAGCCAGCTCTGGACGTCAGGAGCTACGTGAGCTACGTGCCTGGCATTGGGACGAGGGTCGGTCTTGGGATCAGAGACTGGGACCTTCACATCAACTACTTCAATGGCCATTTCAAGAACCGATTGATTGGAGGTACCGATTCTATATATGTTTGGCCTATTTTTTAGGCCTAAATTTCAGGGAATATCCCCGCAAAATATGGCCAGAAATATGGTGCAGTACCTTCATTTTAGGATCCTGAAATTACCATTGACTATTTGCTTGATCTTACTTGGTTATATGGGGGTTCCTCAAGGTACCCCAAAAAAGCTTCAGAAGTCATCCAAAATTAGACAATTTTAATATTGAAACCCAAGGTTTTGGAATTTTAGGACACCTCCATATATTTGGGGGATTCAATCAATAAATGGGGACACATAACCAACATTGATATATAACTATTAGTGGATTGTGATTTCTCCGACCATGACGTTGGGAATCTATTGCCATTATAATTTGCAATTCGCGGTGGTAATTCCCGATGTGGATATATAACCCAAATGCTCCATGTATGGGATATTTACCAACATTTACACTAAAAGTCACCCAAATGTAGGTAAATATACCATATACATGGAGCATATGGGTAATGCAACTTTTGACCTTGTCATGAATCATGAACTGATTATGCACTTATAACTGTAGGTAATGATAATCAATCGGCTTTCTACACCTACTTATAACTGGGGGGCCCGACATTGTGTGGGCATTTTGTTGTGGAACTTGGTAGGGGGTATGTTGGTATAGTATTGAAATCACTTTGTGAAATCACCAATCATGCGCATGGTTTCCAAATTAGGCCTCTGTAGGTCACTTTTGTAGATGTTTGTGTGGGGTTAGCTAGTATTTAACTACCGTTTCAAATGCCATGTAACTTCAAAATTCAGTTGGCCGTCAAGCCGGCTCAATACGCACCAATTTTACAACCTGTATATTATATGCTCCTTCACCAGACTTTAGCCCAATCTTCCTGATGATTTGTTGACAATCTCCCCTCTGCTCAAGTGGCTTCATGCATGTTCATTGCCATTCATAACATTTCAACAGACATTAAGCGCCCATTTTTCAAAAATACTGTGGATGGAAGAAATCCTGCACCGCCTTGGATAGTTGAAATCCTATGAAAAAATGGAATCAACAACCATAACTCAGTATCACAGTACCCTCTGGTAAACTAACATAACTATGGAAAATCATCATTTTTGATGGTTAAATATGGTTAAATCAACTATAAATGGTCATTTTCAATAGCTATGTTAAATTACCAGAGGGTATGTCATGACATGTCATGACTGGACGATGAGCTGCCTGGATGGGATCCATTCAATGACAGATGCATCGAAGTCCTGAATCTCGCAGGTTGCGCCAGGATGTCAGGATGCTACTGGTCGTCCCAAATATGTGCTTGATATTTTGTTTGAAGAAAATACTGGTTGGTGGTATACCTACCCCTACCCCTCTGAAAACTATGATATAATCAGTTGGGATTATGACATTCCAAACCTATGGAAAGTCATTCCAAACATGTTGCAAACCACCAGAAATCACATGGGGATCATCAGCCTAGTTTTTTCAAAACGAAAACATCAACAGAGAACCACCAACAGCTGGGTCACCAGCAACAGCTGGGAAAAAAACCTTTGGCAAATCGCAGCCCTGACATTCTCAAGTCACATGGAGTCCGGGTCTAAATCGTTATATAAAAAAACAAATGGCGCACCCAGGGGCTGGCCAATTTTATCAGAAAAATATGGCATTCGGGCGATCCATTCAGATTTCTAACAAAAACAGGGGTACCCTACAGTTATGGCCATTTATTAGTGGTTATAAGTGGGCTTATACATTTTATAAATGGGGTTTTGTTAGTACTTATAACTGGTAAAGGGCCATAACTGTACCAATCCGTTCAGCTGATATTTTTCCAGCATCATTCGCCCAAGATAAGGATCAACGTCAAAAAATATACCATTGATCTATTTAGCTACGGCAGGTAGCAGTTTTCTGATAGCATCTTCTAAACAGTGGGATACTGTGTTTGTCCATTTTGTGGCTCAAAAAATCCAATGACTAGTTGGTCTGGTTGATGGTTTCAACCCCTCTGAAGAATATTAGTCAGTTGGGATGATTATTCCCAATATATGGTAAAATAAAAATGTTCCAAAACACCAACCAGTGGTGGTTTTGTTGGACAAAACGCATCTTTGAAACCATCACTACTATATTGGCTATATACCAACTCAAGTAACCCCCTCAAAAAGATAGAAAACCACCAAAACATTGGAAATCACACCTACCAAAACAGCTAAAACTGATGATAATTTGAACCTTTCCTGGATCCTTTGAGGTAAGTTACTACATATCCCATCATATCCCATGTTGGAGAATGCCCCATCTTCGGTCCAAGAAAACTCCAAGTGGCTGCAGAAACTTTGTGGAGTCTTCTGGGACATCTTCCTGCAGGGTTTTCTCAAGGGGGAATCCCCAAGTCACCATGGATTTCGAACAAAAATGGCAACCAGCGCATGGTCAATGACCATTTCAGGAACCGACTGATTGGAGGTACCGATTCCATATATAAGGCCTATTTTTAGGCCTATGTAAGGGAATATCCCCACAAAATATGGCCAGAAATATGGTACAATACCTTCATTTTAGGATCCTGAAATTCCCATAGACATGGGGAAAGCCTAGGAAAGTAGTCTACAAATGGCTGATTTTCCACATCATCGAACTCTTAGTTTACCCTAGGGTGTCCCCATATGTTGGAAATATAAATCCCAACGTTACGGAATACATGTTGGTAATTCAATATGGGAAAATATGGAAACTACATATTTTGGAACATGAAACTGGTTGGTGGTATACCTACCCTCTGAAAAATGATGGAGTTCGTCAGTTGGGATGATTTATATATTATTCCCAATATATGGAAAAATAATCCAAATGGTCCAAACCACCAACCAGGAAAAACACATTTACCATCTGGTTATTTAACATAGCCATGGTATAGATGACCCATTTATAGATGGTTTACCTATTAAAAATGGTGATTTTCCATGGCTATGTTAAATAACCAGATGGTAAAAAAACCACCATCCCGAACTTTTGCTTTATGAATTTGGGTGACCGAATCCTCGGGAAAGCGCCGGAAAGATCCAAATATGGGAAAACTGGTGGAGGAAAAACCCGTTTTCGAAGCCTTGGTTTAGAGGTTTCCCAAGTCATGGGGGTAGCAGCAAGAAATCTTCGTCATTGGACTAGGGTAAGTCTCATTTATAATAGGTAAACAGGAAGGGACTCTAGGTAAATCATCTATAAAATATTGATTTATTAGTATGTTAATCATCAATAGCCTACAACTGGTTGATTGTCCACATTTTTTTGTATGTTTTTAGCCCAAAAAAAACTTCTTCCGCTCCCACCATGTCCGCTCTCCTATGGCCCACGGCGCTCCTCTTCAATGCCCCACTCCACCCCGGTCCCGTCGGGACCCGTGAAGGGTGAGAGCCAGAAGAGCCAGCAATCACCCAGGACCTGGGGTGATGGCAGGATAGGCTGTGGGAATGGATGCTAAAGCGGCTAAAGCCCTTAATACATCTTAATACCAGTTATCTTTTCCCTCTGGTAACACAACTATAGAAAATCACCAAGATTGAAACCTTTTAATAGGTAAATCAACTATCAACTATAAATGACAAGTTGTAATAGCTATGTAATTTACCAGAGGGTATAGGATGGTATAGGTATTTTGATGTTATCATGAAAATTAGGGGCTGACTAAGGTTGAGGTTACTTTGTGAAAATGGGGTTATCATATGTTATCATGAACCATGGGGTAACTATGGCTAACTCATGAGTGGTAAACGGCCATAAGTCTATGAAATGGTGATCTATCCACAAGATCTTATCCAAAATGGTGGAATGATGGAGATTTACCCCTGAAAAAAACGGGGATTCAACCCTTTTAAACCAGCAAAAACATGATCTCGGAAGCAACAAGCGGCGGTTTAACCTCATCCAAATTATGGCTTTCATGGGAGGTTAATTGGGATATATCATGACATAGCAACTAAGCAACTATCTTCAGCTTCGCTGTGGGACCTTGCTTAGGAACAATATCCAAATCCCATTGACTGGTCATAAATTAAGGCATCCACTATTTTCAGACACCCCTTCTTGAAGGGATAGACATTGAACAATTTCAGAGTGATGCTTTGAAGTTGGGAAAGTTCGGACACCGGGAAAAAAACACAGACACTTTAACATGGAAGAACGCAAAATATCCAGAAACATGTGCCAAAGAAAAAAACAAAACATGTTTTTCAGTGAAACCTGAGGAAGTTGGGTGTTCGGATGGGGTTTGAGTCTTGCAATTTCAAACATGTTCTGGAGTTCCAGTTCCATTTCCCAATATTTTCCTAAGCAAAGATGGGACATGATGGGACTATGCCGAACCCCTATGTCTCGCAAGACCCACATCCCGGAACATCTGACCATGCAGTTCCAGGTAGGTCAACTATGGATCCGACATGGGTCAGAAAATCGACAGGAAACGCCTCACCTTTTTGGTTTTAAACTTAAAAAAAATCAACGTTTTTTGCATGCGGATGGTTCACCAAGCAAGTGAATCTAGCCTCAGTTCCCTGCCTGGGCTAAGTTGCGACAAAGACCTTCATCATACCTGGGGCCAGGGCCATGTCTTATGGTCAGCTCGTCAAGCGCGGCCAAAACATATACTATACCAGCAGGTGGTGCCAGCAAAAAAATATGGTATATTCAAACAGACACAAATGTTGGGATTTAAATGTGATGGATACACTTTAGGATCTATTTCCCCAACTAATTATATATATCCAATTTGGATGTCTCTGAAAATTAATACTTAACTTAACTATAGCAGCCCCTTTCTCGGTGAGTAATTTTTGAGTTGTCAGTAAGATGGACTGAACCATTCCAGTCACAGAAAAGTCCCAGCCGTGATGCGCTTGACGTCTCTTCTTGGGGTAGGCAAATTCGACCATCGTGAGGTTCTTACACATCAAGTAGCTGTGGAAACCACAATACCTCAGCTGTGGGGATTGGGAGATCGCGCCACTAAGATCTATCTCATTGAATCTCATCTCCAGTTGAATCCAATTCAATCTATCCAATCTGTCAAATTTTTGTAGCACAATCTATCTGATCGGTCTAATTTATCAAATTGATGTACTATATATATACACACATATGCAATGTATATGCTCAATCTAACGCGAATCAAAGTGACTTTAAAGAATCCATCTGCCCCATCTTATCTATCATCACATCTTATCTTGTCTTACTTATCTTATCTGATCTATCTGCCCATACCTACCCCACTACAAAATAAAATGTAACCAGTTCTATAGCGGGCACCGGGGTCATTCACTTTGATGCCCATAGCCGGATTCATTTGGAGGCTTGGCAGGATCAGTAGGAAGGTCAATTTCTACTGAACCAATGTCAGATTCCAAACCGAGATCTCTCCTAGTCACCAGTTTACCTATATAAATCCCTAATTAGTATCAGTTGGTCTTGTTTCTTATTCCCCATATCCAAATGCATCAAACAAGGGCAACCCCAACAAAAAACAACGCATTCACCACAACTTTGCAATTCTAGTGGGAATTTTATTTTCCTTTTTGGGGCTGCTATATGATGGTTTCCAAAAATTCGGGGACCCCCAAATCATCCATGTTTTCATGTTTTTTCCATCATGAACCATCCATCTTGGGGTACCCGCATTGAAACCAACATATGGAGGTTTCCTAAAATGGGGGTACCCCCAAATCATCCAAACTGCACAATTTGAGTGTTAAATTATCCCATGGTGCCTTGGGGATCCCCCATTTTGAGAAACCCCCAAATCACCACGGTTAAACCCATGGGTTTCCTATGATATTCCCATTAAAACCATATACCCTCTGGTAAGCTAACATAGCTATTGAAAATGGTAATTTATAGTGAGTTTTCCCATGAAAAATGGTGATTTTCCATAGTTATGTAAACGTTTACCATAGGGTAAACACCATATTTTCACCCTGCCCAATGTGGACGGAAAACGACCCTACCCAGCTGACTCCACCTTCAGACCCTCAGCAAGTTGCGACAGGGAAAATGCAGAGAGGAAACCACTCAGGGTGGCACCTACCAGTCGCACCAGTTCACCAAACAGGTCACCAAACAGGAACCTCCCTGGAAAATTACAACAGACCTTGGTAATACTGTGGATGGTGGCGAAATCCTGCACCAGTTGACTCTTAGGAATTGTCCCATTTATAGGAATTCAACAATCCAAGGTGGTGCAGGATTTCTTCCATCCACAGTAGTACTTGAATATAAGTATAGCAAATGAAAGTATGATAGGAAAAAAACATCGGAACGGCATATTTTGACGTAGTTTCTCCTGGCATTGTGACTGGATATGGGCCACGGAGGTGGTCAAATGATTGAAAGTCGGATGTGATGGCGGAATCGCTGGGTCCTTGAAATTAAAAGTGTTGGGATGATCAAAATACATCGAAATACAACACTTACCATCTGGTTATTTAACAGTTTGCCATGGAAAATCATCATTTTTTTATAGGTAAACCATCTATAAATGGGCCATCTATACCATGGCTATGTTAAATAACCAGATGGTAAATAATCACAGTGAAATCAATCATACTAATATGATCATGTTCATGATAACAGCCTGACAGCTATCATTACACCTAACGTCGATTCTTTATTGGATCGGCAGTTTCTTGACCTTTGCCCGCTGAGAGGTCTGGGTACTCGCTGTACAACCAAGTTTTGCTTGGTGGGTTGAAACCAGCCAGTGGCTAAAGAAAGTTGAGACCTGAGTGCGAAGTTGGAAATCCCACACGTGCCATGGTCAACACCCGTGTTGGGTGGTCAATCATCTGCCCATCATTAAGTTGATTTAAGGATTCTATGGTTACCCAAACACAAACACACACCAAACAAAAAAAACAATTTTCGAAGAAGATTCGGGCGACCAATGGCCACCATGGGTCCTTACTGTCCACACATCGCGTTTTTTTCCCCATGGCAACCCGCTTCTTGACACTGCCTGGGGATCCCCCAAACATCTTTCGAAAAAACCAGCTCCGTGGCACGCGAGGGTCCAAAGGTGCTTTGCTTGAAGCATCTTCCGCTGTTCCGCAGGTCAGCTGAACCAGCCCATCATGTGTCCAGTGACTGGGTCAGCTAGAAATCCAGCCCGAACCAGCTGCTAAGCTGGTTGGAAACAAGCTGGTGCAAAGAGAAGTTGGGGGTCCATCTTGCATCCATCATGTGTCCAGGATGTAAAGAAAACACTCACCCAACTCAGATTGAATTCGCTCCTTGTCCTGTTGTCTGGCTGACCGGAAAGCAGCAAAGGGAGTTGCCCGTTCATAGTTTCATTGCATCCTGAACATGCTGATCATTTCGTGCAAATGAAACATGAAGTGATGGTTCCGGTTTGTCCGGAACTGCATTTGACAGGGATCAATTTGTGTGATTCTCAGGGTCTATGTTGGTGTGGGGGTGGCAATTTGCGTTTCTCAAGGCTGGGCTGCCAGCACCCCCTTTCACGATAGGTTTCCCCTGGTTTCCCTATGTTGGATGGTATACCAAAAAAAAACATTGAGAACCAATGGCCCATCCTTCTGACAAGGTGATGCCGCCTAGCTATGTCTGTTGGTGTAGTTTCATCCATCTAAGTACAGTTTATATCATATACAATATTATATATATACATATCACATATGTATATATATATATATATCACATACATATATATATATATATATCATATATATATATATGATATATATCATATATATATCACATATATATATATATATCACATATATATATATATCACATATATATATATATATCACATGTTATATATATCCTACATATAACATATATATATATCACATATCTAAATCATGTATATTTATGTATATACATCATATATATATATATATATGATATATATATATATATAGATGATATATATATATCGTATATATGACATATATATATATATGTGATATATATATATATCGTATATATATAATATATATATATATGTAATATAGTAAAATTATCATACATATAATTTATATATATGCATATCATATATACACACACCTAAACCCACCAATTAAACTTAACAGTTAAACCAAGTTAGCATTAAAGAATCAGATGTCAGTCCAATAAATCCTTTTTTGAGTCGGTCCTCTCAAAAGTCGCCGCGTCCATCCGAGGTCTTGGGCATCTCGAAGAGCAGCAGAAAAGCGCCCTGCGCCTTGGGTCATGGGTTTATAAAATAAAATAACGTAACATAGCCATGGAAAATGGTTCATTTAGATGGTTTACCTATTAAACATGGTGATTTTCCATGGCTATGTTAAATAACCAGAGGGTAACATAATAGAATTGAATATTATATATATATAAATATTAAATAACATGTAAGAAAACACAGTATATTCAAAAAAAAACAGCTAAATACAGACAATTTAATGCGAATAATATAACATAATATCATATCGTATATAATTTAACTATATCGTATTATATATAATCGCTAGATATAATAGTATATATATATACAATAACTATCGACCCTCCAAGTACCCATAAAATATTCATACAAAAATGTGTGTTACCGCATAATCTTACTACTTTTACCATGTTTTTTGGTGTACTTGAAGGGTCAAGGTATATATGATATAATACCACTATCGGGATACCAACAAACACGTAAAAAGAAAATGACATTTGCAGAAAACCAACCACTTCAAATTTTCCAGCTGTGGTTCCTTTACTTTTTGTAGCGTTTTTTGGCTGGTTCATATATGGTGCAAGCAAAATGGGGAAGCCCGGCAACTAATGGATATGTTCTGCCCAAGTAAGTGAAACTGAAGATCGGATCATGCGGAATTGCCAGGGCAAAATGAAGCTTTCACCGCCTTTCACCAATAAAAACGTGATACTATGCCATCAAAACTAAAGACTTTAGGGGCAAGAAAAACGGTCCCAAGTGTTGTCCAAGTCTTAACAGAATCATCTCCGATTCTGCGCAATTGTCATCAAAAAAGGGAGGGGCCATGTTGTGAGCGGCAGAAAATGGCATTTTTTTAAGGCAAATCCTAAATAAGATTAATCTTTTAATCCAGATATGAACAGATTGCACTTTTAAGCACATACTTTCCACCCAACTATGTACAAAAAGTTGCCACCAAACCAGAAGATCGGGTGTTTATTAAGAAGCTCTTGGATGTAATCTAGTTCCATGCAATCCCCATGCAAAGCAATTTTTTTGTTAATAGTCACCTTGTGAATTGTGTTGCCCTTATTGAATGCAATGTAGTAGATACAGTACATCAGAGTCAGAAGGTAAGGGATCATTTTAAATACACACAATTCAGGAATATTTGCACCTTAATACCATTGATATAGTTGCATGAACCTTTCCACTATCCCTTGCAAAATATCACGTGTTTTTCTCAAAAAACAGGATTTCCCTCAAAAGAAGTACAGCCTTCCTTTGCAGGGGATATATGTTTCTGTAGTATGTAGCATGCATTTAACATATTGCATTCCTGTTCTAAATGCAATATTAAATACAACAATGAAGCCTCCCCTGCGTGCAAAGAAACATGTGTCATTCATTTGCAATTTTCCTTTGAGAAAATTAAACGTTTTTTCAACGCGCAATACCCCTACAAATTATGGGGGAATCCTTGAAAAATAGTTAAGACAAGTTCTCTTCAAAGAATGCCATGATCACTAGAACAGATCACCGCATATATAAATGAAATTGAATTTGAAATGGTGTTGGAATCTGTCAGTAGAAGGCTCCATGCTTTCTATGCAATCCTATATGCGTTGAAGGTCTTTTTCAACATATTACTGCACTCTTTTCAAACAGAAATTGCAGTACTTCAAAGGGAATGCACAAAGTCAGGCCGCACTCTCTTTATGGAATATCACGTTCTTTAAAAAATCAACTTGGATTCATAGATGTTGGGTGATTGTATGCAAAAAAATGCTGAACCCATATCCTAAGTGCACTTTGTTTGCTTTATTTTGCTTCAATTGTTGCGGCATTGTTTGAAAAGTGCCAAAACCTTCAGAAAGCTAGATGAAATACAAAATTGCATCTGTTTTTTCCCAATTTGGGAAAAAGAAGGCCGGAACTAAGTGCCGGAGTCATGAAGCAGAAGGTTCTGATCTGGATTGATCAGGATTATGCCAGATTAATCAGGATCAGACCAAAACCTCAAGAAAACAAAAAAAAACAACTATTCCAGAGGTCAGAGTAGTTGTGGAAACATTGTTTTTGTCTTTTGTTGTTATTTTTTGGTTGTGATTAATCATGATTAATCAGGATTAATCTTAAGTGGAAGTGAGACAGAACATAGTGTTGCAGTGCCAAACACATGGTTTTGTGAAGAGACGTGTGGTAGCACAGTCAGAACGGACTGTTTGACTCTACATATCGAAGGAATTGTTGTGCATATGTGGATTTCTTCATTGAATATCTACCCCAAAAGCTTGAAATTCACCGCTCACAACAGGCCTTTCTCTTCAAAAACTCGTAACAAATCAGACTCATGCGACTCGTGATTTTCTCGGTGATGTTCAGATTTGTTGTGTCCATGGTTCCACTCGTATCATCTTTCTGGATTCACGAGCTCAACAGTTCGCCAAGCTTAGGAGTTCAACCAGTTTGGAGTTCAAAGCCAATTAAATCATCATTGAATCCCATGAAATCACCAATAAATCCCATTCAATATCACAAGTAAACACAATATACACAATTAATCACAATTATATATAAATCACCATTAAACCCACATCAAAACACCATCCAATCACCATTTCAAGCATTTTGGGTGACACGGTGACACCTGCCTCCAGCTTCTGCCAAGGAGCACCTGCCTCTGGCGCCAACTCCAAGGGTCCTTTCAACTCAGAGCCGTCGTGTTGCTTCATCTCGTGTACCTCCGTCGTTTCTTCGGCTGGTGAAATGTTGGGGAAAATCTGAAGCGGATTTTCCCAAGGGTTTTTACCATGAAGATCATTGGGGGGTTCCTGTAAATTTTCCCCACCAATCCAATGATATGTTTTGGCAGATTGCATAGGAAATTGCCATATATGTGCAATCTTTCTGGTATGGCTATGTAACATATGTATGTCCTAGGTTTTTGATGGTCAATTCCCTCGTTTCTGATCGAGACATTTGAATTTAATATAGACTACTTTTCAGGGATAATTAGGGGTTGAAGCATCAAAAAATAGGGAGTTAAGATCAGCGAAGCATCACGAGATTGGGGGATTTAAGTTGATTTAAGCGACAAACAAACAGGGGGACCAGGGGACCATGCCAACTGAAAGAGGATCATTTACCGATTTACCCAACTTGGGATTTTACTATCAGAAAACAAGGAACTAACCACCAATAATATGCACATAATCAGCAAACATGGCGAGATAACTTGTAACTAAGTAACTAAGACTAACTGCTGGAGGATCATTCCAATCATTCCACTTTGAAAAAGGTTCGTAGCCATCTTGTAACCAACACAGCCCATTTATACACGGGATAAGGCCACGAATCACGAATCTGGGACTTACCAAGCCGAATCTGGAACGATCGTTCCAGAATCTATAGGGATTGACCTTGGGATTTTGTAGAACAAATAAGTGATCTAACCAGCAACAATGGGGACGTGTACCCTCTGGTAAACTAACATAACTATGGACAATCACCATTTTTGATCGGAAAACTCACTATTTCTATGGCCATGTCCAATAGCTTTTTGTTAGTTTACCGGAGGGTATATGGTTTTAGCAGCAAACATCGGATTCATCCCAACCAAACATGCCTTGCAAAGTAAGGGATCCAAAACATCGCCGGTAAAACCAGCCACGTTTGGTCGTTGGGCCCTAGGGTCCAAAAGTCCAAATCACGAGGCTCGAATGTGAAAAAATATGGATTGGAACCATGGTTTTCTTTACCATATAAACCATTAGAAATATTGACCTTTACTGCTTGGTGATGCAATAACCATCTTGAAAAATATGAGTTCGTCAGTTGGGATGATGACATTCCCAACTGAATGGAACACTAAAATTCATGTTCCAAACCACCAACCAGGTTATATATTAACCATTATAATTATATCAACCAATGATATAAACAGTCCGGGGGACAATCTCCCTGACTTTTTGCAGTCCTCCAAGGCCCAGCCATGTCCAACCCCTCCGCGCCTTACCCTGGCCGTCGATCAACTGGACGCTACCTTCCACACAGAGCAAATATGCTTGACGGTCGTCATCCTGTCACTGTCATCGTGGAGGTTCATCCTACTGAAGGTAAGTGGGAGTATGGTAAGCAAGCCTAATATATATATATATATGTGTGTGATTATTTATCTTTATATACATTTATTGTTCTTGTAATGCACATGTACACACACATATATATATATATACATGATGTATTGTAATGTATTCTAATGTGTTATACAAGTAACAAACCGGGGCCGTCTATGTTGGTCTGCTCACGAACAGACTGGGCAAGTGCTCGAAATCAATGTTTTCTGGAGATGGGTTCTCGTAAAGGCTATGAAGGGCAAAGTCAGGGAATCTTGAATCATGAGGTCCACATTTCTATGAGTCCAGAATTTCCTTCCGGAGTCCTAACCATCAACCATGGCACAAGGACTGCGCGGGGGTTCAAAGATGCCAAGCACTACCATAATTGTACACTATCTATGCTTAGTGTTTGTTTTCATGGTTTACTGTACCTTTTACAGGGATTTGCTGCTTAGTAAACCGCCTCAAATTATATTCTTAGTAGACTACCCTAAACGGTAGATTGTCCAAAATTGCCAATCTCAGACACCCTGCCAGAAATTAATCCTTCAGTGCGGTTTCTAGATGTCCCATTGACAGCGGCAAAAATGTAGGTAGAACTACCCATCTAAGGTTTCCCCATCCTGGGGAAAACATATCATAATATCATGAATATATATATATATATAAATACACACACACATATACTGGTTGGTGGTTACGACCCCTCTGAAAAATATTAGTCAGTTGGGAGTTGGGATGCTGATTCCCCATATATGGAAAAATAAAATTGATGTTCCAAACCACCAAGCAGATATACCCTCTGGTTATTTAACATGGCCATGGAAAATCACATTTTTTTAATAGGTAAACCATCTATTTCTATGGGCCATTTCCCATGGCTATGTTAGTCATAACCAGAGGGTATCATCTTCAGCAAATCTAGATGTCATAGTTCGTAGCCCACCCGTTACTCGTCTGAATCTTCCAAGTTTCAATCTTCAAAGCATCCGCGGGCGTGCGGCCGGGCTTCAACTCTGAGATGAACACATTGCCTCAGGAAACGCAGGAATCAAGGCATCACCGACCAAAGATATGGCCTATGTTTTAGGGCTATGTAAGGATATACCCCCAAAATATGGCCAAAAATATGGTTCAGTATGGTACAGTACCTCCATTTTAGATCATTTTAGGATCCTGGAATTCCCATTGATCATGGGGTAACACCCAACCTTTAGTGCTTTATTCACCGCCCCCAATTTCTGGAGGCGTCAAAAGGAGATCATAACATGGGATGAAATGGACTACCTGTAGTTCATCATACTAGTGCCCCATGTAATATGAGAATAATGCGTACCATAAAATCTGTATATTACATGTATTACTGTAAATATATATATATACACTGTTTACATCTGTTAATGGGTATATATATGTACACTGTATCCAAATACTCATCATGTGCCCGAACAACTTCTCCAAACATTCGTCCAGGTGTTCCCCCCCGTTTCGAGATCATGTTCCGAGTGGAAACTCGACGGCTTCCCGCAACAACGGCACCATTGGTCCACGGTCGCTGTTGTGTTCTTCAAGGCGACATTTCGCTGGGAATTTCTGGTTTCTACTTTATACCCCATAGGATCCATGTATGGTATATATGCTAACATTTGGGGTATATTGATGGTAAATGTTACCATATATAGCATACATGGATCCTATGGGTACCATGAAAATTGGGGGGTCTCCGTGTCTTTGTCTGATTTCTAAAGTAGTGATTGCCCATGTTTGCTAATTTCCTGTAAATATTTCATGCTATGTTGGACTTTCGAGATTTACAATATATTTTACATGTCCCTGGTATCAGATTCACTGCAATTCACACCCCTTAGGTCTTACACACACACACACATATATATATAACACCATCAAACATTATCAAACATTATCAAACAATATCCTGCACATGGTCCCCACTTCTACTCGTCTTTGTCTGGAAGACAACAGCAGGAGTTTCCAGCAGAAACGGTCTGGGAGTCCATGCAATCTTGCTGAATCCTAAGTCGCGTCGTCATCTTCGTCCAGTAAATCATGGGGAAGTCAATGAGAAGGAAAATTGGCAACAAAGGAACGGGACATTTACAAACACGGACATCACCTTCAGCACATGCAGATTCAAAATGATTCAAGCACTATTCAATGTTTTCTGATGTGTTTGCCTCTTTTTTTGGGGTCTAGGCCCACTCAAGAATTGTATAGTTGTTCATCTTTTTTGGAGTTTCTGCTAGCAGCTAGCATTTGCACTTGACATCTTGCCTGCAAGGGACCTGATTTCTCAATTTTCTTGCGTAAACTATCACAATTTTAGGGAGCCAACCACTTGTTCATCACCAAGTCAGGGTTTGTTCCAACATTCCAAAGCAGAAAGGAGAGCTTGTACTTACTTGAAACTGTATACTTGAAATTTGGCATCCTAGTGAAAGAGCATATCCCAATCATTCCCACTCCATATCCTAATTATTGGCATGGCCAATCTTAGCTGGCCTGCAAAAATACCCTCTGGTAAACTAACGTAACTATGGAAAATTACCATGCTATTAATGGGTAATTCCACTATTTCTATGGCCATTTTCAATAGCAAACTGTTGGTTTACCAGAAGGTATTTCCCATTAACTATAGTTATATCCAGAATAAAACATAGAATTCAGCCACTTATATAGTTCCATTTATAGTGGATTTACCCATTAAACATTGTGATTTTCAATAGCAAACTGTTAGTTTACCGAGGGTATATGCTATAAAAAAGGGTCGGGTCACTACATCCTGCAACGGCAGTTGTACCGTACGCGACCCAGTCAGTTCCCCAATTTTTCTTGTGGATCCCACATTGACTTTATATAACAAAAAATGACAGCTAAATATCACTGAACATATAATGATGACCCGTTATTATATATATATAAATATTTACATGTATATTATATATATATATAAATATTTAAAGCTGTGTGCATAGTGATTTATATTATCGTTTATATTTATTTATGCGTTCCTTTTTTAAAAGATTTATTCACATAGTTATTTATTCATATCTACATATATATATATATCCACCGACCCTGGCAGACGCAAGGGGGAGCGCGCCAGGGAATAAGACAAGCAAAGACAAGCAAGTTTAGCCGCGCTAGCAGCAAGAGCAGCGGCAGTGGCAGTAGCAGCGGCAGCAGCGAGTCCAGCACTAGCAGTAAGAGCAGCCAGCAGCAACAGTCAAAATTGGATGATTTCTTTCCAGTAGGATTTCAGAAGGGACGTTCCGGCGTCCGGGGAGCTTGTTATTGATGATGATGATGATGATGATAGCGACGTAGGTAGCCACGACCTTCTCGAGAGCCAAAGTCACCATACTTGATACCATGGGCGCGTCGACCTTGCACTGACCGAATGTTACGAAGGAACAGGTTCTGGGGAGAGTCTTGGTCGAGAGAATCTTATCAGTGATACCGTGGGGTGTGCAGAAAACGGGCATGTGCTGATCACTCCGTGATCTAAACTGCCCCTTGCCTCAAACAAATTGATGTGTGGAATGTGAAACGAAAAAGAGCGAAAGTAAAGAGGTGAAAACTGGGGTCAGCGTAGGTTCCGGTCCTACCAGTTGGTCCTATGTGGGAGGGGAGAAACTCGTGAGACCCAATACACTTGAGACTGACATGGTACTGCAGAAACCTGTGGTGGTCGCCGATGGGGACCATCCGACCTGGAGAGCTCCCCGTAGGAATGCCCTCTCCTGTCTGCTGAGTACCATAGGACCGACACAGACGAACAACGTGTACAGACCGGGAGGGTATTGCTGCAAGTACGTGGTTTTCAGTTACGCCTTTCGGGTAGGGCAACACCAAAGAAAGAAAAAATGTTAGTGGTTTTGCAACAACCCGCCTGGATCCGGCCACCATTGCTGTGGATCCTAACCCTCCTGGTTTCCTCCGGCTTTGCCTTTCCCCTTGCCCTTGCCTTTGCCGGCTTTACCTTTACCATCTTTGCCTTTGCCCTCTTTGCCTTTTCCATACCCTTTGCGCCGACGCACCGCGGGTCCGCGGTCGGGGAAAACCTGGAGCTTGTATTGTTCCCCATTGGCGTGCTGTGAGTAGATATACAGTGCCCAATTAAGTACATTCTTGATTTCGCACTGTAGCAGGAGCACTGCATAGCACTACTTGATTTATTACGAACAGAATGCATTTACAGTGCACCAATTAAGTACATTTCTTCCACCATTCGCACTGTAGCAGGAGCTTATTTTTGAACCCTGATGCCCAAATCGCAGCCAGTAGCACACAACCCTCCAGGAAAACACTATCCAAGAATCCTCGCTCTGCTACAGAAAAAGAACTGCGTCTGGATTGCCATATGCCTTTCTGGTCTCGGCACCACACCAAATCAAGCATGTAAAGAAGGAATGTGAACACGGTAACCACGCAGCAGCACTTTTCGACTCAGTTTCTGACATTGCAGCCCAAAGAGGACAAAGTCTTGTAGAAATTCTTGCTGAGGATAACAATGATGAGGAATACTGATGAGATGTTTGAGACAAGACTTCAAACACAAGACTTGCAAGAAAAACCTTGAAAAACAAGTCTTGCAGGACAAGACTTGAGAGACAACCCTCAGGACACAATTCTGGAGAAACAAGTCTTTGAAGACAAGTCTTGAAAGACAAGTCTTAAGAAACACTTCTTGAGAGACAACACTTGAAAGACAAATCTTGGGACAATTCTTGACACACAAGGGATATTTCTAAATATCCTAGGGGGCCACAACACCAAAGCCTTGGACATCAGCATCTATTAGTTAATTTGCCGAGTTGCTGTGGGATTGTAATTCCAAGTTGTGGGCCTCTTGCTTCCAGAATAATGAATTCTCCCAATTCACTATCCAAATGGGTTTTTTCGAAATTAGCAGGCCTACTATCCGCAACTTGGGCATTACTCATGGATCCCCATTGAGCTCCTTGGCTCCTTGGCTCAGGGATCCCCCACTCTGCACCGCGAAGGCCTGTCAGGAAACCACTTTTTGGGCTTATGTTTGTTATGATTCTCCAAATAAAACCCCTGCAAATGCTCATGACATCTGTATCATTGGTGTTCTTCTATACGATATTCAGTATCTGAAATAACACAAACCTCTGCCGACACCAAAAATTGACTTCCCTCCATCACCACCCTGGTTGAAACGGTTCCTCCAGAATATGGCACTCCCAAATCTGATGGTTTCCACATTTGAATTATTGCAATTTTGCTATTCTTAGATACACCAAGCGCAACAGGGTTTAAAATTTACTCCCTCACTGATTATCTCATGCCCGTTTGTGTGGCTGTGGGTTCGCTAGATAGTAGGTAAGGATGGTGGGAATTTCGTAAATCCTTTCATGCGCGTCACATGGTTGTTCGCTAGGCATGAGGGAACATCCGAAAGGATTTTCCAAGTCCTGGAATCTTTGCCATGCAAGAATCCATTCTCCGCCAAGGCACTGGCCTTCACACAAAAATCCGAATATCAGTTCGACGTCGCAATATGTCCAAGTCACGACGACAGGAGTAGCGATTCACACAAAAATAACAGCTACGAGTACCGAAATTTCACTTTTTCCGAGTTCACGCTAGGAAACAAGAATGTGAAAGTGTGTACCGATAACAAATCTGTTAGGACGGCTTGTTTCTATGTGAAGGGCAAACATCATGGACATCAGCTTTACAGAAGATGAGATCGTCACACCCCTCACAGCCGGAAATCTTCATTTCGAACCAAGCGTCTGCTTTTTCTGTGACTCTTTTTGCGGCACTTGCCTTCACACAAGAATCCGAATATCAGTTCGACGTCGCAATATGTCCAAGTCACGACGACAGGAGTAGCGATTCACACAAAAATAACAGCTACGAGTACCAAAATTCACTTTTTCCAAGTTCACGCTAGGAAACAAGAATGTGACAGTGTGTACCAGTAACAAATCTGTTAGGACGGCCTGTTTCTATGTGAAGGGCAAACATCA